AAATTGCAAAATATTTATGTATCTATATACTACATAGATATGTCCATCACTTTTCTATATTTGCATTTACATACGTACGTACATATTTATTTGTACCATAGATATTTTTAGCTAAACCAGCAGCTAGTTAATTTGCTTAACTGTGCACCTGCAAACGAATATAAAAGGTCGTGAATTCATAGTTGGGTTTAAATTAAATTCCAACCTATTATTAGAGGTGCTAAATAAATTAAAACCAAAAATGCGATAATAAGCATTACATCTTGTAAGCTATCAATATGTTTATTCGAAATGAATTTCGGACGAGTTTTGGCCTGTTCTAATCATCACCCTAATGTCGACAAGTTTTGCAATTTGTGTTGTAAATAAATTTATTTAAGCACAAATTAAATTAATGCAATGATTTAAGGATGGATGTTATGATGTAACATAAATATCTATGTAGATAAAAATAAATACACATGTACATACAGTGGAATTATTAAGTAGCGTCAGCTACTTATTGTGATCGTTTTGTCCGTCCGTCCGTCCGTCTGTCCGTCTGTCCGTAAGCAGGATATCTCCAGAACGAGTCAACATAATCAAACCCCGTTTTCGCCATTGTGCTTCTAATTTTTAGTTCTCGGTCGAGTTCGGAAATTGGGTCAATCGGACCACACCCAACGGCGCCAGGGGGTGTGGTCGACATTAAATTGGACATTAATTTTCATGTGGGGTGTCATTTTAAAGGAAATTTGACGGATATTTCAAATATGTTAATAGTTTTGACCTTATGACCTTGACGACGAGGTCAAAGGTCAAAAAATGCATAATTGTCAAATGGGGTGTCATTTTAAAGAAAATTTGACGGAGATTTCAAGGACGTTAATATTTTTGACCTCATGACCTTGAGATCCAGGTCAAGGGTCAAAGATACATAATTGTCATGGGATATGAGATAATTTTAAAGGAAACTTATATCGCTCTGACGCTACTTTTTTATATTTGTTTGGAGGGTTTATTTGTGCGTTTCACTTCATTTTCATATATCTCACTATGCAAATTTTTGGTGATACGGGGTATCCTCGTTGAGTATCAGAACCAAGAATTGTGCAGTGGTGTGTGTGTGTGTGTTACCAGTTGAACTTGGCGCTTGATTATGATTAAATTACACACGTGTCTTACATTGTCCAAGCTTACGTCACCTAGCGGCAGTTAAGGCACTATGTTGCATTTTTCGTTCCTAGAGGCCGTTATCCGCTAAAGTGTCAAAACGTTTCGAATTCATTGACTAACTAACGGTGCACGCATTTAGATCCGACTTGATCACATGAACGAGCACGCCCTCCAGAGTTGACATTTGACCTGTGACCTGGGCACACACCCACTAGACTTGATATTTAATCTTTGACCTGGGCATACCCACTAGACTTGACACGAGACCTGTGACCTGGGCACACCCACTAGACTTGATATTTAATCTTTGACCTGGGCATACCCACTAGAATTGACACTAGACCTGTGACCTCGGAACACTCCCCCGAGTTTACCCTTAACCTGTGACCTGGGCACACCCCCCCTGCGTTTACATATGACCTGTGACCACTGGGAACTCACGCAATGGTTGACACTTACTAATTTAATTTACCTACCAGCGCCACCTACAGGATGTAGGTTGTTTTTCAGCGCTAGCGGGCGGTTTTTCGCTTCAAATTCTTAAACGTTTTTAAAACGTTAGAACAAGTGAACACTCCTTGAAATTGACTACGCCTCTTGATCTGGACACGCCCTGTAGAGTTGTGACTGAACGTTTTTTGTGGTCACGCCCTTTAGAGTCGTGACTGAACGTTTTTCAAGGTCACACCCTTTAGAGTCGTGACTGAATGTTTTTCGTGGTCACACCCTTTAGAGTCGTGACTGAACGTTTTTCGTAATAAAATAATAAAATATCCTTAGGTTTTTCTTAGAGCCCGCATGGCGGGCTTTGGAGATTATCAGAACCAAGAATTGTGTAGTGGTGTTTGTGTCTATGTGTTACCAGTTGAACTTGGCGCTTGATTACACACGTGTCTCACATTGTCAAAGCTATCGTCACCTAGCGGCACTTTGGCCACTATGTTGCATTTTTCGTTTCTAGAGGGAGTTTTTCGCTCAAGTGCTAAAACGTTTCCAGAACGTTGACTAACACTACAGAGGGTGTTTACAGATTTTGTGGAAAGACAATTTTATGGGTAAACTGCGAACCCTTTATCCGTTTTGGCGCCAAATTTCGAACACGCAATCCCCAAGATCACGGTCACACATGTCCCAAGTTTCAAATTTCTATCTTCAAAAATGAGCGCAAAAAGTGACCTCAAAGTGGAGGAATCGGTGAAAGGGGTTTCCAAACAACAGACATTTTTTATCTCTTCCATTGAAAAAGCGTTGTTCTAAGCATCCAAACCCAAAAAATTCCATCGGACTGGTGTCAGGTTACTTAATGTGCACCCCAGAAAAGGATATCGAGGTCATTCCGGGGTTTGCCTTTAAATCTTGGGCGTCCGGTTGGGTAAATACGGTCGTATATGAAAATGTCGCGTCGTGATGGATCCAAACCTTGTCAGGCTCCACAAATTGCTTCTTTGCAATTTTGACCTCCAACAACTTATGTAAAACACTGTCCATAAAGTACTTCAAGTTTATTTTTGCATTAGACCCAACAGGTATCAATGTTCGCACTTCACGGTCCGTCATTGCACCTGCCACCAGGAATCAGTCAGACAACTTTTCCTTCTTTTCAGACCCATGCTTTGAAATCTGCTTTCGATCGGTTTTGCAGCAAATTATTTTTGTCCTGTTGAAGTTTTGAAGCCAGCAGAGTGTCCCGTCCAATGTGACGACAAATTCGGAATTTTTATTCCCAACATGACCTTGAAACAGCCTCCGGCTGTTAGTTTTTTTGTTTACCATATGGGTAAATTTAAGTGCGCGGACTTTCGCCTTCCTCTGCAAGGCTTTTTTAAAATTGTGCTATAAAATTCGATTAACGTGTCCAGGAGACACCTGGGATTGCATTGTGACCTGTCTTTTGGTTGCAGGATTCTGATTGACATCGTGGCGATCAATGTTCTTCAGGGTGGCAGAATTCATCGTTTTGAGGGGTATGCATTTCGTCGCATACGTTGGTCGGATGAAACTAGTTACTGGCGTTTTCTTACAAAATTGATACAATTATATGTGGGGGACACGATAAGATGGGTTCCAAATTTTTGGATTATCGTTTGGGCACTTTTCGCGGCCAAATTAGCTTCGGAAACCGCTTTTACGGTTCGCCCACTTTCGGGTAACTTTTAGGGGCCATCTTTGAAGATGGAAATTTGAAACTTTGGGCAGGTGTGGTCGTGACCTTCGAGATTGTGTGTGCCAAATTTGGTGCAAATTGGATTACGCGTTCAAAAGTAATAGATGTAATTGTCTTTCCACAAAATCTGTAAACATCCTGTACAACAACGAAACACACCATTCAGATCTGCCGAGACTTGACTATAAATGAACGGGCACGCCCCCAGAGTTGACATTTGACCTGTGACCCCGGCAGACCCACGTGATTTGACATTCGACCTGTGACCACCGCACAAAACCAAGGGTTGACACTTAACCTGTAACCCCACGCTATGGTTTACACTTGACCAGTGACCCCACTCTATGGTTGACACTTGACCTGTGACCTTAAGTTATGGTTGACACTTGACCTGTGACCCCACGCTATGGCTGACACCTGATCTGTGACCAGGGCACATCCACTTGACTTTACATTTGACCTGTTACATGAGCACACCCACTAGACTTGACATTTGACCTATGACCGCGGCACACCCTCAAGGGTTGACACTTGACCTGTGACCCCACGCTATGATTGACACTTGACCCGTGCCTTACTAAAAATTACCTACCAGCGCCAGCTACCGGACGTTGGTTGCCTTTTAGCGCTAGAGGGCGGGCTTTTGCTTCAAGTGCCGAAACGTGTTTCAAACGTTACTGTTCGGCCAGTATTAATAGTCTCAATTCCTTGGAAATTTTTCTAAGGTTATTTGGTTTTTGGAAATTATTACGAAATATCTGCCAGGAACCCTTTCAGATTTTTTCAGACTAATAATGTCGGCCGAACAGTAGAACAATTGAACACTCCCTGGAATCGACTAGCTTGAACTCTTGACCTGGGCGCACCCTTAAGAGTCGTGACTGAACGTTTTTAGTGGTCACCCCTTTTAGAGTCGTGACCGAACGTTTTTCGTGGTCACCCCTCTTAGGGTCGTGACCGAACGTTTTTCGTGGTCGCCCCTTTTAGAGTCGTGACCGAACGTTTTTCGTGGTCGCATCTTTTAGTCGTGACCGAACGTTTTTCGTGGTCACCCCTTTTAGAGTCGTGACCGAACGTTTTTCGTGGCCACACACATAGAGTCGTGACTGAACGGTTTTCGTGGCCGCCCCTTTTAGAGTCGTGACTGAACGTTTTTCGTTGTCACACCCTTTAGAGTCGTGACTGAACGTTCTTCACGGTCACATAATTTAGAGTTGTGACATGTTTTACGTGGTCACACCCCTTATAATCGTGACTGAAAATTTTTCGTGGTTACACAAGTTAGAAACGTGACGTGGCGAACTCTATAATGGAGTCTGTATTATTAAACGTCGTGCTATATAACGTGACAATCAAGTCAACGCTCCTTTTCTCTGTGAATGTAAATGTGTAACAATTAATCAGAAGACATTCGTATCGCTAAACTAAATAAAATCGATTTACTTCGAGCCCGCATTGCGGGCTTAAGAGACTAGTATACAGTAAGCTGCGTGTCTCTCGCTCTCGCGAAATACGCAAATGAGATGACTAGCGTAAATAATTCCACTAAAGTACAGTAATTCTGTAACAAAATCGTAGGTACATTAAATTCCGGAGCCTTGTAAACGTCTCTTCAAATTTTAAAGTGATGTCCAATACTTGACTTGGAGATGTAAAATAAATGAATAAATCTAGCCCAAAATCAGGTAAAAAATAATCATGCACAATTCTTAAATTTTATTGGCAGCTCAGACATGTATTCTCAACCAGGCGAAGGAATCAGTTGGCGAACCAATTAACTGCATCTGACCTTCGAACATTGACACGAATTGGACCAAGTACGATTCGGTGGCAAACCTGAATTAAATTACCTGCGTTGTTAGAGATTTGAATAACGAAAAAGATAAAATGCAATATTTGAATTACATTCATTTTCCACAGTGCAGTATTTTCGCACACGGTCGGTCCTAACGGGAGCTGGTCGACAAGGCACATGAAATATTTCTAAAATTTGTAATTGAAGATGACCAATTAGTATATGTACACAAGTATGAAATTAAATAATTAAAAGGTAAATTTATAACTGAAGTATGAAAACTCACGCTAAGTAAAATCGGTGAAATTTTATAGTTTGCGCAAACGGTGTCGATATTAACCTCGGTGTCCAACTGTACTCCGAACACTTGGGTTTGACACGTCTTGAAATGTGTGGCTCCCTACAACATAAATTCGCCCAATTATTAATGAAGTTTTAATATTTGACAGAATGAGTTTCTTAATTTTGCAAATGGCACAAAATTATTTTGCGAAATTGCGAAATTTTCTGTTACAAACACCAGTTAAAATTACGAACTTTACAAAATTGCAAATTCACTTACCGGAATGATTGCATCGTTATAACAAGCGTAAAATCCTTTCGAAATTGTATCGTTGTGCCGACCGAGTCCACAAAGCGTGTCCATGACGCTCATTGACCACTTGAAGTCCTCGACAAAGCTCATTTTACAGGGGAGAGATAGGTCATCGAATGCATTGCTGAAGGCAGATTTTGCGCATAGGGTGACCACCAAAATAACTGAGATAACTTTAAACATTTTCCAACCTGATACTTAAAAATGTTCGAAAAGCATGTGCTTAACTGGGATAATCGAACGGGCGACTAATCCTAAAAAATATTGTTAATGTGAAGCTTAATATATGACTGGCTTAATTATGCGTTTGATTGACGTACATAAGTATGTGTTCATTTATGTAAGAATCTGTGTAGCAGTTGCTAATTGTTGGGGAATTTCCACTAAATTGTGAATGCATTATGTTTTCGTATAATCTGTAAATCGTATTCTCTATGTATTAGAGTAAATTTAGCGTGAACATTATGAAGTCAAAAATATGGCAGCTAATTTTTGACTGAACAGATACGTACATATTATTACGTGTGTATTATTACAAAGCTTTAACATAACAAAAATATGGTTTGGTTTGTAATTTTAGATTTTAGATCTATTTAGGCAAACAATCAGAAAATAGGAATTTACTTAAGTATTTATGAAATTTCATAACATTTCATTTCATTTCATTTTACTTAAGTAAAAAATATGGTCTGCCATTTATAACCTGGCTTTTGTATACATTTTGAATTTAATGAATTGCAATTTAGTAGCGATATACTTATCATAGGTGTAATGAGAGTTATTTTTTGCAAAGGATTGACAGCTGTATATTTGTTCAAACGCATGGATTAAGTAATTCTTGGCAATAAAGTGTTAGAAGGTGATTAACTGACGTTGAGAAAGATGAGATGGTTTTGGTTTTAGACTTATTAAATAACTATATTTCCTAGTGCAATCGGCGGCGTTTGGATACATCGGAATAAAATAATTTTAAAAAAGCTTGCTTAGGCGAGGCGCTGCTAAAAGTAAAAAACAAGGGTATATCTTTTAAATATCTCGTACCTTTATCATTGTAACAGGAGTTGGTGGATTTGTCTCACCGCAAACATTTTTACAGTTTACCATACCACGACGTTTATTACTTACATTTACTGCTAAGAAATTCAATTATTGCTAATTAAAATTGTATCTATGTATATATCTACATAAATGCTTAAACAAACGATTATTGCTTCGAAAGGGCTGTTAAATTGAGTGGAGCTTGTAAACGTATTATGCGAAGGACCAATATGATCAATAATGTTTATTTAGCTCATAATTTAATTCAAGAGTTAACCAATAATTCAGGTAGCCAATAAAATTTGATGGACGTGCACAATATTCCGCAGGTGTTATTCAATAAATTAAGGTGCTGACACACGAATAAGGAGGACATCACGCGAGGATGTATTTTCTAATTTTATTTACATAGTAAAATAACTAGTTTTCAATACCAATTAAAAAGTGATAAATGATAATTTTGAGAAATTCGTGAACCCAGATTAGATTCTTGCGAATTCTTGAGAATATATTCTTTATTGCTAGAGGCTTGGCGTAAAATTTTTGGACTCGCGGTGATGCAAAGCCACCAACTCCTGTTACAATGATAAAGGTACAAGATATTTAAAAGATATGCCCTTGTTTTTCACTTTTAGCAGCGCCTCGCCTAAGCAAGCTTTTTTAAAATTATTTTATTTCATTGATTTTAGGTGATGCACATTTTCAGACAATTAATTGCACCTCAAACTTGTTAAACTTTTTAAATGAAGACCGAATGTCTTGAATCTTTTTCATTACAAAATTAGTTGAAAATACGTACAGGGGGTCGCAAAATTAATTTAAAAGGGTATTAAGAATTAAATAATCCAAATTTTGAAAATCAATTTAGCAGCAAATAATTTTTCAGATATTAGGTTTTACGGGGATTAGTTATTTCACGAGAACAATCTGGATTAGGGAGGAAGATTACAATTGGCCAATTAATTTGACAAATTAAAATTGCGTAACACAACTACTTGTATTTGGAAAATTGTTATATTGATAGCTAGTAGCAACCAACTAGGAATATTATAATTCTGATGCAGAATGGTTAGCAACATGAATGGTTTCAGACGCTTCCATCAAAACTTTTCCAGTTTTGGACCGATCTCAGTCGGATTTGTTTTAAATGACGCACAACCGATTTCTGCATGATAAAATCAGGTTTTATGCATATAGTCCTGTGGCACAAGTATCTCAAATTTTGATTTTAAAGTTGCAAATCCAAATTTAAGAGCGAAGAATAAAACTTTTATATCGGGCATATTGAAAAACCACATCTCCTAATTCTCCTCTGCACGATTGCTCTTTACTCCATTTGCGTAGGATTAACCGTTTAGGCTCTAGCCTCGCTGACAGTTTCAAAGGGTGTATACGAAAGCATACTTAGGCTTCGCCGTAACCATAGTGACGCTTTTTTGCGGGCACCCATTGTTACTTTTGCCTCACCTAAGAAAAATCGGTGCAAGCTCCCAAAGTTTAATCACTATCATGCCCGATTTACATAATTGAAAAAATTAGTCATAAATCCGTCCAAGACTATTCCAAAAAATGACAGGAATGATGCAATTGTTTAATATATACTTACAATTAGTTGAAATTGATTAATCAAATTAAACAGAATACCGAGAATATTACTAAATATTTGTGGTTATTTTAAATAGCCAACCTTCGCAAACCATATGCACTTTCAAAGATAAGCGGACCCAATGCATAGTGCACGGGATTACACAAGTATGTACATAAATACCCATAAATTCAAACTAGGGTCACTTTGCGGGTTTTTAAATGTAATTAATAAACCGTCAGTACTTTTCGGTACGGCACGTGGATATGTACATATATGTAATTAATTAGTTCCACAAATTATACGTACATAATTATGAGCCATTAAACTTTTCGTACCCTAAATTAAGGCATAATTCGCAGTATCATTATAGAAATTGGTAAACAATCGACAGATATTTCCACAAATTTCTAGCTAAACCAACCGCACGTTAATTTAAATTTATCGGCCTGTGCACCTGCCAACGAATGGCATCGATGCATATAAAAGGCTGCAGAAACAGGGTACGATAATGAGCCCAACTTTTTACAAAGGATATACATTGAAATACCAAAAACTCTCTTCAAAATGAATTTCCGAAGAATTTTGGTCGCCATTGTTCTCATCGTCGCCGCGATGTCGACCGTTGCTGCGCAGAAGTGTAAAACCCATGATGACTGTTCATGGGGAAGTCGGTGTGTTAGAGGAACTTGTCACTAATGTAGGTATTTATTAATATTTTCTCATTAAGAAGAATTTAAATAAATATACATGCAAATTTTGTATGATTATGTATAATCTGATTAATTACTTTATTTTTTCAGGATTGCGACGCTTGGTTTACAAATCGGATATCGGCATGAAAACACAAAATTAATATTAACAATGAGGTCCACTTGTTTAATATTACATTATTAAATATGAAATAAAATCATGTAAGAATTGCAATATTGTCAATTTGGCTTACAAAACTTGGCAGGTTTACAAAAATTGTACACTAAATTCATTTATATTATTAAATAGTTCAATAAGACGCCATTCATTGTGGAAACTAATCATGCGAAATTCTTTAAAATTGATTATATTTACATTTGAATAAAAGAGCGATTAATTATGTCAACTTGCGCCACGTGTTAAAATGAGGGTGTAACCCGTTACGAGGGGAAACAGAGGCGTTAGAAATCGCCAATTTTGCGTTACGTAATTTATGAACATTCCCTAAATCATAAAAAGAATATTTCCATTTCAAAAACGAAAGTTCGAAATACAATTCGAACAAATTGTATGTACGTACTTCTTCTTAGCCATGCAGCATTATCTCTCCAGGTTATGAATTTTCCCCAGATGTCTAACCAGACCGGTAAAATCCAGAAATTGCCTCCCGCAAAAGTAACATTCACGCCGACTGGAACCTTTGTGCCGAGTTTTATGCGCGAATAAATACTTTTTCGAGTGAGTCTTGTACTCGCATTTGTCGCAGGAATATTTCAACTCGTTCCTCGGAAGGTGTTTCGCTTCCATGTGTACCTTCAAGTGGGTACGAGTTGTAAACCATTTGTCACAAAATTTACAGTAATGGTCCTTCCGGTTTTCGTGATAAAATCGAATGTGCTTATGCAAACCACTTCTGCAAAGGAAAGTCTTCGGACATTGGGGACATTGCGACATCTCGCGGGTGGATTTATTTTGGTGGGTCAGCTGTAAGGAAAAATGTGTTACAGATTAACAATGACCAGTAATTTTACGTAGGATAATACATATGCCGGCTCATTCTTCATGAATCTCTATGCACTAGTACGCATTAGCTAGAGACAGAGTTTATTCTAAATGGAAAGCCCTATCGCCGAAGATGGGCATAGTTTATAGTGAGATTTATATATGCAAATGAATTGAAATGCACAAATAATTCCATTGTAATTAAGTAGAATTGAACTAATAACTTACCACGTGATCTTTCAAGGCTTGCGTCCCTGAGAAACTCTTCCCACACGTACGACACGTGTATGGCTTCTCTTTCGTAATATGAATGTACCTACCTAACTAAACCTAAGGAGGAGAGGCCCTCTACATGTCATCTTCAGATCTTGATGCCATTTGGATATGTTGGAGTACCCTGTGAGTCTACTAAAACCCTGAAGTGGTTTGATGCCATGGCCCCATTTGCGCCCGCCACACCCACTCAAAGGGATGAAAACCACAAAAGTCACCTTCAAAAATCCACCAAAAATTCAATTTTGTACGGATTTTGATAAAATTTACACTTTTGTGATCCCAGATACTTGTGTGATAATATCCAATAGCAATCTCAACTTTTTTGAAATTTTCGAAATTTTTGGACATTCCACTGCTCATGAATTATTCGAAAATTTTCACAATTTCAAAAAAGTTGAGATTGCTACTGGATATGATCACAGAAGTATCTGGGATCACAGAAATGTAAATTTTATGAAAATCCGAGCAAAATTAGATTTTTGGTGACATTTGAAGTACATGAAAACACGGTTTTTTTCGTGTTTTTGACACCTTTGAGTGGGTGTGGCGGGCGCAAATTGGGCCATGGCATCAAACCATTGCAGGGTGTTAGTAGACTCATAGGGTACTCCAACATATGCAAAGGGCATCAAGATTTGAAGATGACATGTAGAGGGTCTCTCCTCCTAAGGATAAGTACCTACATCTATATTATAAGCTGGAAACGTCTGTTGGCAACGGAAGTGAAAGTAAATGTTCTGTAACGGAAGTGAAAGTGGAGAAAGTTAAGTTTCAAATGGCGCGAAAATTCAAAACAAATTAAAAATGTTAGTTATCTGGGAGTGGTTGTCTGATGGTGCTTATCTGGGAGTGGTTGTCTGATGGTGCTTATCTGGGAGTGGTTGTCTGATGGTGCTTATCTGGGAGTGGTTGTCTGATGGGGCTTATCTGGGAGTGGTTGTCTGATGGGGCTTATTTGGGAGTGGTTATCTGATAGTGCTTATCTGGGAGTGGCTGTTTGATGGTGCTTATCTGGGAGTGGCTGTTTGATGGTGCTTATCTGAATTAGTTAGCTTTAGAGTTTCGTCACTTCTGTGGAAGTGAAGTGGAAGTGAAGTGGAAGTGAGTTCATGGATCTAGAGTTTTGTCACTTCTGTGGAAGTGAAGTGGAAGTGAAGTGGAAGTGAGTTCATGGATCTAGAGTTTTGTCACTTCTGTGGAAGTGAAGTGGAAGTGAGTTCATGGATCTAGAGTTTTGTCACTTCTGTGGAAGTGAAGTGGAAGTGAAGTGGAAGTGAGTTCATGGATCTAGAGTTTTGTCACTTCTGTGGAAGTGAAGTGGAAGTGAAGTGGAAGTGAGTTCATGGATCTAGAGTTTTGTCACTTCTGTGGAAGTGAAGTGGAAGTGAAGTGGAAGTGAGTTCATGGATCCAGAGTTTCGTCACTTCTGTGGAAGTGAAGTGGAAGTGAGTTCATGGATCTAGAGTTTTGTCACTTCTGTGGAAGTGAAGTGGAAGTGAAGTGGAAGTGAGTTCATGGATCCAGGGTTTCGTCACTTCTGTGGAAGTGAAGTGGAAGTGAAGTGGAAGTGAGTTCATGGATCTAGAGTTTTGTCACTTCTGTGGAAGTGAAGTGGAAGTGAAGTGGAAGTGAGTTCATGGATCCAGGGTTTCGTCACTTCTGTGGAAGTGAAGTGGAAGTGAAGTGGAAGTGAGTTCATGGATCTAGAGTTTTGTCACTCCTGTGGAAGTGAAGTGGAAGTGAAGTGGAAGTGAGTTCATGGATCCAGAGTTTCGTCACTTCTGTGGAAGTGAAGTGGAAGTGAGTTCATGGATCCAGAGTTTTGTCACTTCTGTGGAAGTGAAGTGGAAGTGAGTTCATGGATCCAGAGTTTCGTCACTTCTGTGGAAGTGAAGTGGAAGTGAGTTCATGGATCTAGAGTTTTGTCACTTCTGTGGAAGTGAAGTGGAAGTGAAGTGGAAGTGAGTTCATGGATCCAGAGTTTCGTCACTTTTGTGTACAAGTGAAGTGGAAGTGAGTTCATGGATCTAGAGTTTTGTCACTTCTGTGGAAGTGAAGTGGAAGTGAAGTGGAAGTGAGTTCATGGATCCAGGGTTTCGTCACTTCTGTGGAAGTGAAGTGGAAGTGAGTTCATGGATCTAGAGTTTTGTCACTTCTGTGGAAGTGAAGTGGAAGTGAAGTGGAAGTGAGTTCATGGATCCAGAGTTTCGTCACTTCTGTGGAAGTGAAGTGGAAGTGAGTTCATGGATCTAGAGTTTTGTCACTTCTGTGGAAGTGAAGTGGAAGTGAGTTCATGGATCCAGGGTTTTGTCACTTCTACAATCAACAATTCTGTACGAGTCTGTCACTCCACTGCGGAGTGGATTGGGAGTCAGACAGGAGTACTCGGAATTTGTCATTCCACTGCGGCGTGGAGTGGAAGTGGAGTAGGAGTCAGACACGAGTACACAAAAATTGTCACTCCACTGCGGAGTGGAGTGGGAGTGGAGCACAGAATATAGATTCTACCAGAAGAATCGATCTTATGTATTCGAGTGACGCTTATGGAAGAACGGGGAGAGCCAACCAAATAACTCGGTGTACATTTGGCCCACCTGGGGGATGGCACCTCCGCATCATCATCATCGCCACATTTCCTGGCATCAAAAAATGATGATGAAAGCACATAGGTGGCGGTGGCACCCCCATTTGTGCACCAGAGGTTTCCTAAAATGTTTAAGGAATTTTAAATTTAAAAAATAATTCGGAGAGAAGTGAAGGGCGAATTAATAAATGTATCAGGCCTGTCGTGTCCTCGGTAGTCATTGTTGCCTGTTGTACATACATTAGACTTTAGAGATGAGCCGGACTATGGGTTTTGAAAAACCGATCCAAATACCGTAAAAACTCAAATAGTAGCCGGGGGCTACTATTTACAAAATTCGAGGCTGGGACCCGGCTACTATTTGAGCAAGGCTACCATTTGGGCAAGGTCACTATTTTTCAAATTATGAAAAATGGCAGGGCTACTATTTGAGCACAGCTATTATAATTCTGTTTCCAGAATCAAATTCAGAGTAAATTTTAATAACAGCACCAATTTCTCTCTTAGAATCGTAATATATGCCAATCTTATTGTTTCGGCCTGCTCATAATCAATTTCTTCGATAAGCCGAATTTTTTGTTCACTTCGATTTTGTACGTCTGGGATTAAATTAAATTGTAATTGAATTGCTTAAATGAGCTGGCTAGGAGATACATATGTGATTATATGTATGTATATACATTGGAAGTTAATGCACTGCGATAATGGACAGGGCTACTATTTGGACAGGGCTACTATTTGAGCAAGGCTACAATTTGGGCAAGGTCACTATTTTTAAAATTATGAAAAAAGGCAGGGCTACTATTTGAACACGGCTACTATTTGAGCAAGGGCTACTATTTGAGTTTTTACGGTAGATTATTTTTCGAATTAAAATTTGAAACTGATCGGATCCACGCTTAGAATTCTAAACAACCGATCCGATTGTTTTTTAGGCATTTTGAATAACCGACCCAATTCGTTTTTCACATTTATGAAAGTCCGATCCGATCCGTTTTTTGGATGTAATAGAAGCCAGATTTTATTATTTTTTTTGTCCCAAAATACCAAAGGCATGGGATAATAAATCGAACTAGGTAAAATGTCTACTTTACTAATTTAGCCATTGACATTGACTTATTTAACTCAGATTAATGTTTATATTTCGTTTCATAATAGTTATAAAAATTTTATGGATAAAGGTAAGTTGGGATGACCTACGGATCATGACCTCCTTCTTCAAAAATCTACTTGATTTTGTTTTATAAAGCCGGATCTGTTTTTTTAGACAAAGCCCGATCATCCGATGTGTTCCCATCCATATATGAGCGATCTTGTACGGATTGCTATTCCATGGTTTCCATCGGATCGAATCCGGGCAAAAAGAAGCCCTGAAGTCAGGCATCCGACTCAACTCCGCAATACTTTCACCAGAATGCGATTACTGAAAGTCATTTGAGTATAATAACGAGGCAGCGTAAGGTGCCTCAGGCACTGTGGGAAAATGCGTACGAATCGAGATGGGTCCTTAAATGATCAGTGACTCAAATTCGCATGAAAGTGGGTCAAATGTTAAATATTTTAGGCTTCTTGGTTGATGAAAAGTTTAGTCTGGTTCATCTATGAATATTCGTCTGCATCCTGACTTAGAGATTTGAAAACTTTAACTTCAAATACATAATATATGTACTGCAATTTTCACCTCAGTTAAACATTTACCAATTTCATACCACTCATCGTCCGACTCGTTACTAAATTAATTTCCAGTGCTGCTATGTAATTGAGTCGGACATTTCTATTTTTAACTACAGAAAGTTGTACTTCAACTTTCTACATTTAGGAAATTCGGAATTTCCATATAAGCATCGTAGTTGCATACATGTATTTATGTGTGGTACATTTTTTTCACCTTTTACATAGGAGTTTTTCTTCATTGTAGTGTAAATTGTATTCGCAGAGTTGTATGTGTACATATTCTATTTATAAAAAAAGATAAAAATATCTCTTCCAGCTCTCGTCCGGCTGGAAGAGATCCCAAAATTGCAGCAACATTTCCACGCTGCACTGCAATACTCATCCGTTGCATGAGAAAAGACGTTGCCCTCTTCTCGTCAGTGACAGTCGTGATCCTTGATCCGATTTCTTGATAAGCGACAGGCCTCCTTTGCCCCACACACCTATCATTTCAATGGCTACATTAACAAAGAGGAACCTGGAGGAATTCGTATTTTTTCCTCTTGGTGTCCTCCGCCTTCTCGGCTGCCGCACCAGGAAGAATGCAGGGTTTAGGGAGGTAAGATGGTGCGAAGGTGTCCAAACATGTAAAATCCCATACCAAGGGTCTCCCTCTCGCCCAAGGGATTAACGTTAGGCCGTCAGGGCGCTTTCCGTCTTATCGAGAACAACCTGGTGGCTCTTTTATAGCTGGGGCTCCGGCAGATCGAAGCGCTCTCCAAATCACGTCATTGGCAGCGGTGTGTCGCAAATGACGACCAGCGCTCCTCTTGCATTTAAAGTTAGCCTTTTGATCCCATGATCCCATCCCATGATAGCCTTTTGAAGTGACCTCTGCTCCACAAGGACATTTCTGAGGTTGGCATATGTCGCAACCAAGACGAAGGGCACAAGCGAATCGGAAGAACTCATTTGGGAGTAGGGTGCCAAGTTGTGGAAGGAATGGCATTTAGCCACGCCCCCACGTGCGGCTGTCCCATAACAAGGAGGCGCCCTATATCCTCCGGTGTGGGTGCACCATTTTTGAGGTTTGTATGGTACATATATGTACATACGTATGTCAAGTACAAAGTCAAGAATATGATGATATTTTTAAGACTGATGAGCTGAGATTAATGTGATGTTTTTTTCTCTACCTCATAAATAAGAGGAATAATTTTGACATGGTAAAGAAAAAAACTCGTTTGCATTGTGTATAATAAATATTTAATTATTAATTACGCCTTTTGGCAAGGTTTTTGTCGCCCTGGTCCCGGTCGTAAATCATGTACCCCAAAAATCGTGTTTTTCTAGGCCCTTCTTTTACATACATATGTCGCATAGGCACGATATCATTGGAGTCTTAGACCCCTTCCCCTCCTCCCTCGCGTTACATATTTTATCAAATAAATTGCTTTCTTGTGCCCATATATTAAATAACTGTATATGCATTACTGTGCCTATGACCAAGCCTCTGCAGAGCTCTGGAACTTTGCATGCAAACATACCTATATTCATGCACAATTGCATCACATCGGCTCGAGTCGGGTTGAAAAACTGATAAAAAATTCTATCGTGTAGCAAGTCCGTGTTTCCCCGTAAAGATCTAAATATGTATCCGGCATGCTCGCAGCTGACTTTAACCAGAACTTGGCCAAAAATTGCATAACCATTTCGCGTTCCGATTTTCCTGATATTTATTTACACCGGAATTTCGCACATATTTTATGCCAGTTGTGCTGAGTCGATGTGCAATATTTTTGTACCCTAAAATTCAAGAACACCGTCTCACGTGATTTAAATACCTCAAGCAAACAAATTTGCATATGTGTACATTGTTGCGAAATATGTAGACTAAGTTTTGGTGCACATCTTAGATGTGTAGCATTATAAAGTGAAATTTAAAAATTTGCAAACACTTATTTATGCGCATATGTGAAAAATTTGCACAAAGGTGACAAATATTATGTGAATATTAAAAATGACGTTGAAAAACTTACTACTCGGCACGTTAACCTGGGTGATACTCCTCATTTTCCTATCTATACCATTAACGATCCTCATAATTTGGAAAGTTGGGGTTATAATTGCCGCGAAAATTTTGCGTCCCGATTTATTCCTGCCAAACGCGACCGACTGTATGTTCTCCAATGTTGGGAATGGCTGGGAAAAATCTACCGTAAATGTCGGCTTTGTCTGTCAGATTGACGGAGTCCTAAACGTGGCCGAAGTACGGGAGTTATTTGTGGTAAAATTTTTCTCAAATGGCGTTCCTGCATATGACCGGCTCCGTTCGACAATCGAGATCTGGGGAAAGTTTGGATTTTTCAAGAAATTGGGAGAGGTTGATGTGAATAGGAAAATTTTGGAAAAAACGCTACCTGAAGGGCAAATCTTGGAGGATTTCGTGGTTTCTTGGATGCTGGAAAAATACGAGGAAAATTCGTCATGTTGGGAAATAATTGTGGTTGGCTGGGTGGGGTTTGATAAGACAGTGGTGGGGTTTAAGATTCATCACGCTTTTGCCGACGGCTACACGTTGCTCTACATTTTGGAAAAGCTGACGGGAAATAGTAGTTCGCCCTATTTGGTGAAGGATTTTGAGGACAGTGTTGGGAAGAGGGTAAGATATCTAATACATAGTTTACCAAAATTTGGTAACAAATTATTACCAGCGGTGATTGTACGTGACCAATATTCCGGGTGCAAGTATAGCAGCAAAAGTGGTTTCTAGCGGTTATTTTGAACTGTAATAAATGCATGACGCAAGACTCTACTTCCGCCGCATGTGGCTAAATGGCGCACAAAATGACGTGCTAATCTTACATGAATACACAAAATGGGAAAATTGTCCATTATGTCATGATGACCATTAAATATAAATAATTTGCAGACTCTCCAAATGTTGGAGGTGCCAAGTCATCTACCGGGGAAAATGAAAGGCCCGGGTCCTCAAGGGAGTCCGCTCGCATGTCAAAGGGTGTACCCGTTTCCCGTTGTCTTCTCATTCTCAAGGTTGGACCTCGACATCTTAAAACGGGTCAGGAGGGCGCATAATGTGCACTTTTGCTCCATAATTTTGTCCCTTTTGGCAACCTCACTTCGGAGATATTTACTCGAGGATAAAGCAGTATTGGAGTTACCACCTCATTTATTCATGGCTACGACGCTGCCCTGGCCAAAGCATCCGACAAAAAATCCAGACAGCCTAGAAAATGAGAAGATGTGTAATCACTTGTAAGTCGTAAAATATTGGAAAATTCAATTATTTCTTGTTTTAGAACGTGCATATATTACGTTATCAAAAACACCCAGTTTAATCTCGCCTACCTCTTCCTATCTCTTTGGCGGCGGAAGATGACTCATCGGGGGGACATTTGATATCCTGTCAATGTTAATAACCCCCCTCTTCTTATACCCTGCAACGCTAATGTCCCCACGATGACGTCATCTTCCGCCGCCACTGCCTCTTCCTTATCTTACCTATGTTAAGCTCAACACGAGTAAGATAGGCGACTAAAAACTACTTACCCACCTCTTTGAAACGTAATTTATGTAGGTTCCTTTTTGGCGTGAACTTGAACTATCAAAGTAATTTTGTAGCATTCAAATCACATGGAATTATTTATCCGGGTCACCTCATTTGCATAAATCTCACTACGCCCATTCAGCGCTTTCCATGTTGAATAAGCTCAATGAAAAAGATGCAAATGAGGCGACATTTCCACCATAGGCATTAATGAGTTTGCACTGTAATTTTTGTTTATAATTTAACAGTGTGTCCGCCGTTTTCAATGCACCCATCGGAGAAGAATCACCCCTCGAGAGGCTTCTGCAGATTGAAAAAACCCTCGTAGAACTACAAGAGTTAGGCGTTACGAAATTTTTTAAATTAATTGTTTTTCCTCTTTTTTGGCTATTTCCCTCAATGGGTTTTGGGTCGGATTATGGCCTTGCCGGCGGTTACACGGGCACATTGGGCGGCACTGGATACACTTTGTTGGGGAAGCCTGTCACGCAAATCAATCAAGTCATGGCACTGCAAGACGTAGACCCATTTATGGCAACTAACACGTTTTCATTCACCCATTCGAACCTCTTTGAGTTGACCTTGTCCGTAAATAAGCAACATTTTGGCGATAGGGAAGCAGTCGAGAAAATTTCCAAAGTGTACATGCCAGAGGAATTGGCGAAGCTTGGGGCAGACCTAGACCTAAAATAATTATGGCCGACAAAGGGTATCGCCGATTTTTGGAGAATTTTGTTTAATCTCTACCCCCTCTAATCTCATCTTGCATTATTTGCATAGTGAATACATATGTATGTGCTTTTAGCCCGAACCAGGGCTTATGTAATCGTCATGTTGGTCCGTCTGTCCGTCCGTCTGTCTTTCGATAACTCTCGAACGAGTTGACTGATTTGGACCAAATTTGGTACAGACATGTATCTGGGTAATGCAACGACCGAGTTCGAAGATGGGTTCGATCAGAAAAGTTTTGGACCGGTGGGGGTCATCGGAGTGGGTGGGGTATTATGCACCAAAATTTCAAAATTGTGTTAGAAAGCTGAAATTTGGCATAGAGGTTGCTAATGGCTCCTAATGGAAGAATATGAAGCCAAATTGGTAAAATTTTCATATCCGGGACCCGTTGGGGTGACCCATACCGATTTTCATAACTTGTCCCAAAAACCTGAAATTCGGAACGGTGATACTTAATGGCTTCGCATGAAATTATATGAAGTCAAAGATAAACAAAGAGTAACCAGAGGGGCACTAAGGGGTACCCATACCGATTTCTAAGAGTTTATATATTTAGCTAAAAATTTAGCGTGGAGTCGAAAAAATAACTTAGGATTAGAGTTTTGGAAGGTTGAATTTTGAAATTTTATAATTGAAAATTCTGGCAAACATTGAGTTTACTAATCAACCCTGGTTCGGGCTAAGCAAAGCTGTACTGATAGGTTGTTTATATAATAAAAAGACCATTCGAACTTTTATACACACAATACATTTCGGTTATTTACGTATGTTATGTACATATTTATATTGAAATAAAAGATTAATTGATGGTAACATACATATATAATGATGGTTATTTATATAAAAACTTATTTAGATTTACGATTTTTCCTGGGAATATGTATCGTGATCTGAAGGCTTGCTGCCGGATGGGGGACTAATTTCATGGCAGGCATGTTTATCTACAAAGTTGTGTGTCCATATATTCCTTATCGTGTGAAGAGAATTTTTTAAAAAGTATTAACCGACTGATTAATTCCGCCAAGAAGAAACAGAAGGTTGCTGGATTGTCGGTCTTGAATTCCTTCTGACATAAAATTCTTACTCAATTCTACTCCAATATCCTGCTTCTTGACGTAAATCACTTAATCACTTAAGTTAACAATCCGGGTAAACACTCGAGTTTCTGAAACAATGATTTCCTCACATTTATTGGTTTCCCTGCCACTCCTTCCTGCGGTACAAATAAGCACACCAATTTCCGTTGAGGAAACAAATCAAGCAATTAAATTTTCCATAAATTAATTAAACAATTTCTTAAGTTCTCTATTAAACCCCAAATTTCATTCAACCTTAGAATCATTCTTCATTATCCCTTCAACCATTAAGTACATATGTACATATTCTCCATAAAGTAAAGATAGCAATTATGCATCGTCCCAACTTGCCTCTCCTCGTCTGCCTCTTATTGGCATCATTTTTTGAGGTTAAGAATTTAGCAATTATTTACATAAAAAAATTAAAAAAACACAATTGCAAAACTCGAAATTTCAGAATTCCGAGCAGAAGACTTGTCTTAATGGGAGCAGAAATCAAATGAGACAGCTATGCCACGGGCCCGTCGACCACTGTGACGCGGGTTGGAAAAAGATCAACGATGAGGTACTCCACACCATACCTCAGTGCTACTGCGTCCGACCCTTCAACTCTCAAGAATTAGAAGAGATCAGGACCTGCGAGTGCGATAATTTCTTGGACCAATGTCTCCGCCAACGTGGAATGCTGTACTCGTGCGAATTGGCGAAGCGCCCATGCTCACATGAAAGGCTGAAGGACGAATGTGCAAATTTGCACAATAGGAAGGAGTACAAGACCCTTTGCAGTGGGGCCGAGGAGACTGGGGCAGACGTAGACTTAAAATAACTTAAAAAACTTAAAGATTTTATATTGTAAATGCATGTTTCAAACCGTGAATTTAAATCTCACGGTGTCAGGTTTTCAATGGATAGTGATCAATTCGAATTTCACGGAAATATTGTCATTACATATCTGGCAGCAAATTGTGTTCAATGCAGAAGAGCATCATAAATAGTGAGGATTTATTTTAAACTTATTTGCAGTGGCATATGCAAGTATGTATGTCACAAAGTATGTAGATGTTGAATTTCTGCTGAAGCTGTTGAAGTTTTGGCCGGGAATCAGTTTAAGTTTCTCACCTCAAATTAGCGAATAGTGAAAAAGCTGAAAATATGGGCATTCTAATACGATCACCAAATGTAATGTGCATAATATAGCCATTTAAAGGAATAAATATAGATTAAATATGAGGCATATAGGGATCATATAAATATGTATTTATTGCATATGCAATATAAAGAGAAGTCAAAGTGTACGTGTTTCTTATACATACATGTTTAATTAGGCACTTATTTATGTATATGCTAACATAATATGTTAGTAGATATTATACATATTATGTACTTCTGTGGTACATATGTATTAATCTACATAAATATGTGTTTAAAATTGGAACAAATGCAGGTACGAATTGTCGGATTTTTTTGACGAAACTTCCACCCATCAAACCCCGAAATATTAATGTTGAATTTTAGTCAACCCTAAAAACAGGCCCCCCTCCGGCTTCAGGGAGGCTGATTTAGCATACTTCATCGGAATCGGAGTCTTACTTGAAGGTTCAATCCTGAAATTGTAGACAAGTTGGGCGATCGCGACTTTCACTTCGGCTAAGGCGAATCTCATCCCTGCAAGGAAAAATTATTTTTAGGAATCTTCAGAATTTTTCACTATTAGAAATCAGGTTTAGTCATTCAGGTTTTGATTTCTCGGTATTAAAGTTTCTGTCGTTTGGTATTAAAATTATACGGTTCGTAAAAATTTGCTATATTCTGTATACCGATATGGTCAAACTTTAATACTGAGCTATTAGGTACTACACCGTGTCACTTATCAAGTACAACTTTTGCAGAGTAATATTCATATGTATACCACTTGGTAATATTTTAATATCGGATTTCTAAGAGTGTTCTCAATCGTGGATTAGCAATTAGTAATTAATTAATTACCGATACAATTCCGTGGTCCTGATCCAAATGGGATGTACGTGTATGGAACAATGTTTCCTTCGTTCTCCTTTGAAAACCTTTCCGGATTAAATTTTTCTGGTTCCGGGAAATATTCGGGGTCATGTTGCATTGCATAAATCGGGACTAAAAGTCCTTGTCCTTTCTTCACGATGAGTTCCGTCCCTGGTAGTTTGTAGTCCTTGGTGCACTTCCGATCCGAGGCACCGGCAGGGGGGTACACACGTAACGTTTCTGATGGACAAAATGGCAAATTTATGAGTAAAAATAAGCCATACTTATGGTAATGCGTATTAAATAAGGTTCAAGCTTTCACCATTAAGTTCTATAAAGTGTTTAAAAATTTAACAAAAGAAGTCAAAAATCCCCATCTCAAAAATTCCGACGACTTTTTTTCCCCAGAAAAAAATAACCCTGGTTCAAACCTTACAAAATTTTTGCTGTGAAATAATAATTATCCGCATGAAGTATTTATGTACTTCGTTTAGCAAAACTTAAAGTACTTAAAACCAGTTTTATAAGACCAGTTAAGTTTTCAGGATGTAAATATGTATGCCAATAAAGGTCGTCTTATCTTAACTCACCACTTATCACCATATCCAGGTAAGTCATCTCATGTGCGGCATGATAATCAATGTCCCCACCTTGTTCTTGAAGTACACGTGTCACGTCTGCCCTCAACTTGTCCTGTACATCTTGATTTAACGCCAACGCATACGCGCAGAAGACGAGGAGGGATTGCGTCGTGTCATAGCCGGCTAAGAGAAACAGGACAGAATTGGCGACAACTCCGTCGTCATCGAGAACATTTTCGTCAGAAGTTGACGTCTTGCTAGGATCATCCTTCAGAATGGCGTCCTTTTCGAAGGTTGAAAGTTCATCGTCCTCCACTCGTAAGCGGTTATCGCGTGCTTCCAACATTAACTGGAGGAAATCCGTCCGCTTGGCAGACTCGTTTTTACGATGTGCGATTGAGGATTTTATAGCAGCAGAGAAAAAGTCTGAAGCCTGTAATATTTTGCATAAAAAAATTTAAGTTAACTTTTCTCAAAAATATGTATGTATGTACATATGTATTCATGCGGCGTTTGATTTCATGCACTTTTGCATGCAGTGTAAATAAACCTGCAAGAAATTCAATAAATGATGCCCGCAAAAAATGTTTTTTGCAGGAGTCTCTCGCAAATATGCATTTCTTGGAAATAGTTGTTGATCTCAATATTGAGATATTTTGCGAATACATAAAAATGGTGTGAAAATATACAAAAAATACACATATCTTGGCAGGCAACTGATTGGTAACATTGTGCATAAACTCTGTAAATTCTGTGAATCTAAACTTTTACAAAATTTTACAAATATTTCTTAGGAAAATTAGCTTGAAAATTTTTGTAAATTTACTCAAATTTTCGTTTTGTAAAAGTTTGTAAAATTATCGTGAAAAAGTTGCGGATTTTACAAAGTACCAGACACTTCATGAATTAATGTAAGTACTTACATCCTTTGGAAATATCGTAAGTCCGAGAAACTCTCCCAACTTTGCCGACGTAATGATAATCATCATCTTCAGGAATTGCACCCCACCAAACTGTATTTGCAATTTGGCCGCCATGTCTTCAAACTTGGACATCCCTTTCTGATCAAACGCCCCACTGTCAATCCCACAAACCGCCGTGGCAATAATGTCCATCGTGTATTTGGAGTACGCCTGCATAAAGTCGACCTCATTTCCGCCTGAAATCTCGCCCTCCAAAAATTTCACCAACTTTTTCCCGCTCTCATTAAAAAGTGGGAGGAGTCTCTTAATCTTTCCCGTCGTAAAGGCGGGCGTAAGTTTTGACCGCAACAAGCGCCAATTTCGCCCCATCATAAAGAACAAAGCTTTCGAGAGGAGGACATCCTTCGAGGCGGAATTGTCCCGAGATGTCCGCCTGTCCGCGAAATGGTCGAAATCCTTGACGAACACGGATCTTAGAACGGCTGGGTCAATTATCGTGATCGTCGTCATTCCGAATACCGTGCTGGCAAGGATTTTCTGATTGGCGGCCTTCATTCTTTGATACTGCAAGGAGATCGAGTCCATCATGTTGACCCCTTTAAAGATCCCGACAAACATGCGGAGTGTGGTGCCTCCTCCGTACGCGACATTTCTGGATTCGTAGTAGGCTTTAGTCTGGGCGGAGGATATGTGTGAGTAAGCAACGATAAGGGCGAGGAGGGCGATAAGTATGAAAAATATGGTTAGGAAATCCATATTTTTTAAAAAGTTTTTGGGAAACTTTCGTTTATCAAAATTGTGTATTTATGTACTGCTAAATGTGTAATTGTGTAATACTTTGTTTAAAATGAGCTGTTCAGCAGAGCAACTCGTCAACTGAGTTACTTTTTAGGTGGGCAAAGGATATTGCTTAAATACTTTGTTATGTCCACGTATGATTGTAATTTTTTTAGCAATGTTATATTTATGATGGTCAAGTTGCCAATCCGTATTTATGTAATACACATGATGTTATTCAGCTGACTGGAAAAGAGCACTGTCGGCATATGCATGCAAATGTTGTGTAAGAGATGTACATAAGCGTTTTTTATATGGGTATGCACACTTTTCTATTGATGTGGCTCCAGGAATTGTTTACTTTTCACGTAAGTTTTTTGTGGCTTGGTTGATGAGTCAGGCATCAGTGCTACACAACATTGTGATGGATTGCGTAAGCCGTTTGCACAGAATATAGATTCTACAAATTCTATTCAAACGAACTTATCCAACTTTGTTTAAAATTTTACATCTCGAATTTCGCTAAAAAAATTTCGAAAACTACGTTAATTAATAACTTCAATATAGTACTTTCCTGAGAAAGTTTGAGGGGGTGTAACTCTGGAGGTAGCAGGTTCCCGACGGACCTTTCTTGCAGGATTGTAGTACCCTCCCATACGAATGAGAAACCGTAAATATCCTGGTCGGGTAGCTGCGACCTTCGGTGTTACACCCCCTCAACGTGGCCAGAAAACCCACGTTTTGGTATATATAAACGGTTACATCTCGGCCAGAAATTTTTTTTAATCCTCAAAAATTTTAATCCCGGGTTGGTATGAGTTGCTGATTATAAAAATATAAAAATATGACGACCACACCCCTGGGGGAGTAACTCCCCCCATAGGGGGTGTGGTCGCTAAAATTTTTTGAAATGAATTTCCTGGGTCCCAGTCGTCATTCATATATATATTTTGTAAGGGGCACACCATAGCTGTTCAAACCACAGTGTGGATCCACAAAGTGGACTGTGGTGTGGAAAGTGGACACGATTTTTTTGTGGTTTGTGGAATTGTGGATTGTAGTTTGTGGAAAGCTTTGTGGTTTGTGGAATTGTGGATTTGTGGAGTCCACAACTACAATCCACAAAACCACAGACTGGTCCACAATGTGGACCGGTCTGTAGTTTGTAGGTATTGTTAGGCTTTGTGGCATTCTTGTGAATGATATATATATATAGAAATTTATTGATATATGGCCGGTGGCCCTCATCAAATACATGGAATTATTACAGAGTTAGATATGTAAATGTATAACAGAGTAGTCGGAGGATAGTGGGAAAACCTAGCTATGGTGGAGAGCTAGGAAAACCACTATCACCTCTGGGAATGTGGCCCAGAGGTCCATTCGGCTCCGACTACAGACACCCAGGCAGGACAAATGAGTGATAGGGATCATAGGCAGATCCCGAGAGATAATGGTGATATCCCAATGAGGACGGCGTCGGGAAGGCGGAAGCAAGACGAGCGAAGGTTGTTGCGCGGGGTGTCCACGGACCACGAAATACCCTAGCACCCTTTCGGGTTCGGGCTACGTGTCCCCTTCACGGTCACACAGTGTGACCGGGGCCGAACGACACTACCCACTTGCCCCTTCACCCACTCCTCACAACACAACCGGGTCATGGGACCCCCGTAGGCCCGACTACGCTGCCCACCGCCATGCACGACCCCGTCCTCACTCTTCCACCAACCACCCCCCACGGTCACTACCCCGATATACCAAACAATGACCTACCTGGGGGAGTCCTCCATGGCGTAGATCCTCCCGTGCACTGGGTCCGGCGAATCCATCTTCGCCTGATGGCTCAGCTTGTCGTTGCTGGGACGGGTGTGGCAGGGGGTGTCACCAGGCACGCAGGTGGGGGTGTGAGTGGACGAGGCTCACATGGCGATAAGGCCTTGGGACACACTTTACTTGCCCTGGCACACCCGCGACCCAGATGGAAGAGGATCCAGTTGCAGAGCGAGAGAGAGATAGTGGTGCACGGTTGGATGCCAAAGAGGAACTCTTCTTGTGAATGATATAGCCTTAGATAAATAATTAAACACGTTTCATAATTTTTGATAATGCACACTGAAAACGATGTTATAATCCGTAAGCGGGAATTTGGATCTTCAAATTTCGCGGTAAAAATGCAAATTGTCGCTCACGTATACCATTAAAACTTCGTTGCAATTGAGCATTATGAAAAATTGTGAAACACGTGTTTAATTATGTATGTAAAGCTACATAATTAGAATATGTAGCTGTTCAAACCACAGTGTGGATCCACAAAGTGGACTGTGGTGTGGAAAGTGGACAAGATTTTTTTGTGGTTTGTGGAATTGTGGATTGTAGTTTGTGGAAAGGTTTGTGGTTTGTGGAATTGTGGATTGTAGTTTGTGGAAAGGTTTGTGGTTTGTGGAATTGTGGAGTGTAGTTGGTGGATTGGTTTGTGGATTGTGGTTTTGTGGATTGTGGTGAGATGAAATGAACAGCTATGGGGCACACCCCCAGGTATTTTTGCAACACTATAGGGTCTAATAATACATTGTGGAACGCTATGCAGAACTTTGGAGGGGTCAGGGAGAACAATTAGTAATTTATGGATATGTGAGTAATTGAATTATTTAATGGACATATACATAAGTTAGATGTTTATGTACATGAGTATATACCTATACATAAATAAATAGGATGCTCATTCGCATATTAATATGTACATATGTAGGTATGTATATGAATGTACAATGTACATTGGACAACTCATGTCATCATAAATGGTGTTAACTTTGTTCATTTATTAATGCATAATGACGAATGTATTTAGTGTAAGGATTAATTGCCAGTAATTTATTATTGCAATTAAAATGTTTGAAAAAGGCTTGTTGAGGTTAGTGACGAATGGTCACGCTGTCACAAAAGATTACTTACATAACTTATCAACTGAGGATGTATGAGTAACCTGTCAGGTCTACATACATACTTATGTAGCTATTACATAAATAGTTATGACCACGTGTGATTACAATTTTTTAGATTAGGAGTAGCCATAAACATGGATACGATTTCAATACGGGTGTTATAAAGGCTAACTGGCTGGAAGAGGATCGAAATACGCATGTATTATCTATTTCGTTTGGTGTAAGTACAATTATGCATTTTGCCATACATTGTAAATACATACTACGGACCCAGGAACTTTTTGTTGTATAACTTTTTGTGAATGAGTCAAGCATTACACATGTACAAACATATGTATCACAACTTGACACAAAATTATTGAGCATTGCATAGTCTCAAAGCTAAAATAAATATGTAAATATGACAAAAATATTAGAAAATTTACATGAACACTTTTATGGATATGTAAACTCAGAACCCGAACAAAGATTTCAGGATCCCCATCTAAAGATAATAAATAAAATATCTAATTTCAATATTTTCTAATTTTATGTAAGACAGTAAATTACGATAATGGATGGTACTAGATGAGAAATAATTAAGACTTGCAAAGGCAAGAGTTGTACATTGTCCAAGATTGAAAATTAGAATAATTTATTTCGCAAAATTTGGTCCATTAAATAATCACTATAAAGGATGTAACAATTAATAAAAATCATTGCCAAAGTTAAATAACCTGCATAGCGAGAATATTTCATACAGCATTAGCTGACTAATTAATTGTGTATCTAAAGAGGAAGCAAAAGGTTGTTACCCTGCCGGTCTGGAATTTCTGCGGACATAAAATTCTTATTTAATTCAACTCTACACAAATTCAGCTTCCCGGTATAAATAACTTAACTCCCAATCGGACAAACAATTCGGGTAAGCACTTTTTGGACACAATGAATTTCCTCACATTTATTAGAATTCCTGCCATTCCTTTGGTATAAGTAGGTACAAGAATTTCCTTTGATGAAACAAATAAAACAATCAAATACTGCACAAAATTAATTTCCGAACTTTTAAATTCTCCATAAAACCCCGAATTTCATTCAATCTTAAATTCATTTTTCATAATCCCATCAATCAGCAACTATTCTCCACACAGTGAAAATAAAAATAATGACCCGTCTCAACTTGCCTCTCCTTGTCTGCCTCGCATTCACATCATTTTTTGAGGTTAAGAATTTTACAATTACACTCTTAGAAATCTAATATTAAAAAAAGACCAAGCGGTATTAATAAGTATACGACTCTACCGTCGTGGTATTGATAAGTAATACCGTATAGTAATAGCTTGGTATTAAATATCGGTAGCAAATTTTTAAGGACCGGTACCATGTTAAACCCAAGCGATACCAACATTAATACCGTACTCGCGTTACTATAGAGGGTTTCTAAATTTTATCTGAAACAATTTTTTTAAATCACTTGCAAAAATTTTAATTTCAGAATTCCGAGCAAAAGACTTGCCTAGACGGGAGCAGTAATCAAATGAAAGAGCCATGCAAAGGCGCCATCGACCACTGTGACGCTGGTTGGCGAATGATCCACGAAGAGATACCCTACGCCATACCGCAATGTTACTGCGTCCGGCCCTTCAACTATGAAGAAGTGGAAGAGATCAGGGCCTGCAAGTGCGAAAACTTCCTGGACCAATGCCTCCGTCAGTATGGAATGTTGTACTCGTGCGGAAGGGCGACGGAGGAATGCTTCGAAGAAAGGATAAAGAAGGAATGCGCTAATAAGATAAACAACAATGAGAAGGAGTACGAGATCCTTTGCAGTTTTGAGGATAAGGCCCGTGAAAAATCTGAGAAATCTGGTGGAGGCAGGGCCCGACCTAATGTCTACCTGGACACAAAGTTTGGGGCGCCGCTACCGATAGTCGGAGGTCATGATGACCATCCTCTCCTTGAATAAAATCATATTTTGAATAATTTTTCACAAAGTATGTATTGGCTGAATAGTTAATTGTGTACCAATAAATAGGAAGAAAAAGGTTGTTATAGGCCCGGAATTTTTGCTGACATAAAATTCTTAAATATTTAACTTAACTGTAAAATTCTTCTTTGCGATATATTTAAATAGGTAAGTCAACTTATGTAACTCCCACTCGGAAAACAATTCGGTTACAGACTTTGATTTTTTAAACAATGAAGTTCCACACGTTTATTGGGATTCCTGCCATTCCTTGCGTATAAGTATTTGTAGGTACGTATAATAATTTCCGTTCACGGAACAAATACACTCTAAATAAAATCATTACCAAATCATTACCAAAATGCACACGTATATGACTCTGCAGAAACGGTAATAATAACCACCAGCCGGTAAAGAAATTGATTGAACCCGAAGTGGTAATAAAGAACACTTTTCGGGATAAAATTAATACCGCGATGTATGACAAATGTACTACAATATGTAGTAGAATGTCTACCGCCTGGTAATAAACCATACCATTTTGTACACGGTGTCCTATTCATGCCGGTATTAATGCTTTTTATTATGTATACCCCATTATTACCAAATGTTGTGCAGATTTCCACCGAAAAGAATAGATTTTTTGTTTTTCTTTACAATAATCTTTTAATCAACTATATTTGTTGTAAAATCATTTTGAAACATACTTACATAATTATAAAATTTAAGTATAATGTTAACTATTGAGTTACATACATACATATTTACATATTTATTCTTCTGTTCCCCCTTCAAATTCCGATAAATCAACGATTTTGGATCAGTCCACATGGGTTGACGTCATCAAATAAAATGTCCTGCAGATTAAAAATTCACAATTTTTAGAAATTCTCAATACAAGAGCACATTTAAATAATCCATGAATTTTCACTCACCAGACCCTCCACTGACTTAGAATATCTTTATGAAGGTAGTAGCCTGATTATTGCGGCTGCTAAGTGTTTCTGATAGGAGGTTGTAACAGAAACTTTGAAATTTAATTGATCAAATTAAATATATTATTAAATATTAAGAAGGCTTTAATGACTCGCCCTTTCACCTATATTAACTTGGCTACAAATTCATTAGCTAAAGTTGTCGACGACGTTTTATCGACGCAGTTTTTCTCATTGCACTCTGCAACTAAACGGAAAATTTTGACGCTCTCAGTGACTGCAGCGTTTGCAATCTTCAAAATTGAAAATTTATCTTATATATTTATTTTTTAAATAGTTAAAAATACCGTTAACTGATTGTAACCTGAGTGAAAATATCAACATCATTTGAAATTTGGGTTCTTCTGAAACCATTATTGGACTTCGGCGACTCATCAGGATGTGTAACTAAAAATATACGATATGTTGCAGACTAAGAATAATTTAAGTTTAATAAATTACTCACCGTAAATTATTGATGAAACTTTCGTCGCCGATCTCCTCCCCCTGGTCGTCTGGCAGAAAAATCTCTGTTCGGATTTCTAACTCAAATTTTTGCTTCACTGAAAAAATAAACTTAAGATTGTTATTTACTCGTTCCTATTAAGATGGTGCTAGATCACCATCTTGATAGGGCACCTACATACATACATATGATAATTTGATACTTACATGTTTCCAAAAATTCTATATAATTTCCAGAAGTTTTTATCAGTTTTTTACGTCGGGCAAAAAACCGATTAATTTCGCCATGTTGAATTGAGTTGAGCGGAAAATAAAACTAAAAAATGTGCCACTTTGTAGCGTCTCATAATTCATACCAAATGTATTAAAATTCTTACCTCTACGGTAATAAACTACACCAAAATGTAGATCTCATCAGCACCACAACGGGAAACATTTGTACTGCACTTAAGTAGAATTATGGTAAAGAGTGTTATCTAAATTTGAAGGATATAATTACCGGCTAGTAGGGATTTATTACCAAAATTATAAAGATCACTTAAAATATTGCGGTGGAAGGCTAGTTACCTGTTTGGTATTGATGCGGTAATAATCGCGTATAATTTTTGTAGGACGCGTAATTACCAAGAGCTCGGTAAAGACGCTTATTAGGAATTCTTTACCAAGTTGCTAAGAGTGTATGTAAAGCAATTATCGTGATAAATACGCCCATAGCTTAATCTTATTGTTACACATGTAGTTGGCGATAATTCAGTAATTGATAGCAAAGATAAGTGTGGGCAATAATATAATATATATGCGCCGATAACCACACCCACTGTAGGTGTGGCTTTTAAACTTCGAATGATCTGTCGTGACTACACTCAAAATAAGGTAGTAATGAATCATTACCATGCGGAATGACTATGTGTCTCTACCACGTCGGTTAGGATTTGTCGTAGAAATGGTAATAATAAATTCAGGGAAATTCAAATTTAATACATAATGGTGTTCACTTCCTTAATATTTGGTAATGAATTTGAATTTCCCTGAATTTATTATTACCATTTGTACGACAAATCCTAACCGACGTGGTAGAGACATATAGTCATTCCGCATGGTAATGATTCATTACTACCTTATTTTGAGTGTAGCCATACATATCCGGCTAAAATCTTCATATCTCACTTTAACGGGAGAGTTGCATGATTCAAGATTGAAAATTATCTGTACTGTATTTCCTAAAATATGGTCAATTATTTAAATTTTTGAATAACCACTATAGCGGATGTTAATTGATAAAATAAATCCTTGGCATAGTTCAATAACATGGATATATTTAGTTTGATTGTTTTAATACATTATTGGCTGACTACTTAATTAATTGTGTAAAGTTGTAAAGAGGAAGCAAAAGGTTGTTGCCCTGCCAGACTGGAATTGGACATAAAATTCTTATTTAATTCAACTCCTAAATCCTGTTGCTTGATATGAATAACTTAACTCACGATCGGAAAAAACAATTCGGGTAAACACTTGATTTTTTTGAAACAATGAATTTCCTCTCATTTACTTGCATTCCTACCGCATAAGTAAATATCTAGGTACAATACTTTCGTTGATGAAACAATATAATTTCTTAAATTCCCTATAAAACCCTGAATTTGATTAAATCTTAAATTCATTCTTCATTCAATCCTATTCGTCAGGAAATAAAAATACACATAATGTTTCGTCTCAACTTGCCTCTCCTCGTCTGCCTGGCATTCGCATCCTTCTTTGAGGTTGATAATTTAGAGATTACATTTTACCTGAAATATGCTAATTAAACAAAACTTGAAATTTCAGAATTCCGAGCAGAAAACTTGTCTAGACGGGAGCAGTAGTCAAATGAAGACGCGATGCAAGGGCCCCTTCGACCACTGTGACGCGGATTGGCAAATGACCCACGAAGTGGTACCCCACGCTGTGCCGCAATGCTTCTGCGTCCGACCCTTCAACGCCCAAGAAAGGGAAGAGATCAGGACCTGTAAATGCGACAATTTCCTGGACCAATGCCTCCACCAACGTGGAATGTTGTACTCGTGCGGACGGGCGACGCAGGAATGCTCACAAGAAAGGTTGAAGAAGGAATGTGCAAATAAAATTGCAAACAATGATAAGGAGTACCAGACCCTCTGCAGTTTTGAGGCCAGGGGGTAGCGAAGCCTGGAAGAGGCAGGACCCTAAATATAGATTTTTGAAACTATAAATTTCCGCACATTTATTGGCATTCCATGCGTATAAGTAGGTACACTAATTTCCGTTCATGAAACAAATAAAGCAATTAAGTACGTTATAAATTAACTTAACAATTTTCTATTCAGCCCAGTTGAAATTCCATCTTAAATTCATTCTGCATTATCCCTTCAATCAGGAAATTTTCGATAAAGTAGAAATAAAAGTAATGTTTCGTTTCAACCTACCTTTTCTCATCTGCCTATTTTTGTTCGGATCATTTTTTTGAGGATTTAGCGATTGCATTTTTAGAAATCCCGTATTAAAATAGTGACATTGTTATTAGTTTAGTTTATATGCCCGAAAAAAATTGGTGATATGTTTTGCATAGTTATATAAGTAAGCAATTATCAGAATTCAGAGTTTCATGCATACATATTTACACATGTATTTCAATGAGTAAAATAAATTTCATTAAGTAATTATAATATTTATCATTGATTAATTTACATATTCAATTAACAATATAAATAGTTATATAACTTGGAGTTAAATACAACTTATAAGTTGGATTAAGGGAAATAAGGTGGGTTAAGAGGTACTTTGCATCACAACACTGAAATAAACGCCACAAACTAACTAACCCTTTTTCGTGCAAATCATGCATGCAGACGAGGTGCATTCCTTCTTGTGTCCGGGTCCTCGCTCACGAAGATAAACGCCAAATCCTGGCACAGTTCCATCTTGGTATATCCCCAGACTTAATATCTCGTCCTGCTTGACTGGCTTCAGAGTCTTCAAGACGACCCCACTCGCGCCCAGTTCCTTGGTCAGGATGATGTTTGGAGTACATCCAAAGTGGAGTTTGACCCCAAGCAGGACACACTTGTTAACAACGCTGAAAGATAAGATTATATTCGTACAAAATAAGCACAATTATTATGACTGATGATAGTAAATAAAATAGCTCACCCCACATGTGCACCCGGCCAAGAAATGCTAGCCGTATGTACCCGGTAGTACATAAGCGCATCCATGATGCGTTTAATTTCCAGCCCACTCCAGAGCGGCAAAGTACGAAAATGCTTCTGAAACTCCTCCAAGAACTTATCGTAGTACAGCTTATCATCGCGGGTAAGTTCGAAGGAGCTGGAATCCCTCTCCTTCATAAGCAGCTCGAACTTCTGAAAGAGATCCTTGTTCTTCTGTTCCAGGATGGATAACCGCATTAGTCCCAGCATCCAGAAGGCACTGTCTTGATTCAGATGTATGGGATGTTGAAGTCGTCGTGATGCAAATGATCGCGTGAAAACGGCCAAGTCGTCTTTGCATTCTTTGTGATGTAGCTAAAAAAATATATTAGAATTCTGTCTGAGACTTATTCCAGGATTTTTAATACCAGGAATGAAATAGGTGGAGCATTTACCTGTTTGCAATCAGGACACACGGGCCATTTGCACCTTTTGCAGTCAGTCGCCTTCACTATATCGAAGATGCCATACTCTTGTTCACCCTTTTCGACCCACTTTTCCTGATTTACGACGCTACATTGAATGCACGGGACTTCGATGACGGATCTGATAGACTTCGGATTCTTGTAATGGGCGACACTGCAAAAATAATTGGCAAATGTGATATGATAATGTTCAACAAGGAAGAAATAATAATTTCAACAATACTGATTAAGCAACGTACGTACCATGGAATCTCAATGATTATTGCCATATCAGCCAAGACGCTGTTTTCAGGAATGTCGACCGTACTTTGCATCTCGGCAACCATTCGATCCTCCTTCTTCGCCCGATATTCGTAAGGCTCGCAGTTGTGGCCATCATCCTCTTTGCACTTTTCCGAACAGAAGACAAAATTCTGAGGACAGATAAAGTGGCAATATACTCCTCCAATAGAATCTTCGACCTCCAAGATCTTCCGGCATTTCTTGCAACGATCCTTTCCACAAAATCCAAATGCCCCCTTCTCGGGTTCAGTCGTCTCGACTTCTTTGTTGAGATCATCATTCAGCCCGTTCTGCAATTAATTCAGCAAACGTTAATCATCCAGGCAAAGCAAATGAATAAAATGTCGAAATGTAGTAAAAGAGTGATGCACTTTTTCCACATCGCATCGTTGCAGAAGGAAATTGATAAGCTCTTTATTCTGCAATGACGATTTTATCCATAAAAAAGATCGGTCAACTTACCGCCTCCGTCAACAAAGCCGAGGTTGTTTGACGAGCTTCGGAAATGCCTTGTTGCATTGGAGAGTCTTCATTTTCAAGTTTTTCAACTTCATCGACGACTTTTTCTTCCTTCTTCCTAGAGCCAGACTTCTTCTTTCCCTTGGACTTGGTCATTTTCTAAATTCGTACTAATAACTTTGCAGAAATTAAAAAACTAAAATCAAAAAAATGACTGGAGCGAATACGATTTTGAGCCGGACGAGGAGAGCGCGTGAGTGATGGCAGAGCCACGAGGCGAGGCTGGCGAGGCGCCAGCCAGCATGAAGCTAGGAAAGTGAGACAACGTCTTCGAATTCATAAAAATTCATAAAAATAAAATTCATAAATAAAACTCGGGAACTTTTAAAAATAAAAATAGAAATTTTAAAAATAGAACTCTCCAACTTTTCAGAATACGAGAGTAATAAAAACTTGACTAAAATAAAATAAGGTTCGAGTAGTTTGAGGAGGATTTAATGAGTGATTATGTATTGATTGATTGATTGATAGTCATTTATTCACATGTTATTCCTTGATCAGTACAAATTAATGACTGGTTTACAGGAAGTAACACTAAAAAATAGATTAAGTAAAGAAACTAAATTAACTACACAACGTGGTATTTACAGGCCCCGTTCTAGGCCATGTGGCGCCCTAGGCAAAAACGTAATGGCGCCCCCGCGCACTTACACCGTTGGCACTGGCAAACACTTTTGTCACACCATTCTATATATAAATTAGCATTTCGCACTAATTGAAGTTCCACAAATTATCATTTTTCAAATGAATTTAATTGAATATATTTAATCCCTTAAAAACTAATTGAATGTTATTATGGTACAGAAGCCTCATTACATTTTTTCGCCTTTTGAGAGCTTGCTTATTAAATATCAAAATTATAATAGCGGAGAGGTGTAACGTTTTTATTTCCGCGTTCAACTGAACCAATTTTAAATTATGCAGGTAAAGAAATAATCGCACACATACTTTTTCCATTTTCATAATGCTGTGTTTTCGAAGTCGCGGAATTTGAAATAGATTTTAAACCAAAATTTGGGTTTTTGAAAACTCTAAGGTTTTTTCGAATTGTACTAGGTTCATCACTCATCATCACTCATCATTTTTGATCAAAATTACTGCCCTAAAATTATAAAAATTTATTTTTCAAAAACGTTTAATTTTCAAAAAATTAACGTTTTTCAAATTACGATTTTCAATTCACGATTGAAAAATACTCGTACCATGCAAATTTGAAATTTTGAAAGTTTCGAAAATTTAATTTTTATGTCAGGGAAGTAATTCTAAGCAAACTATACTTGATTTTTTAAATCTGGTTAAAATGCGAAAAAAGTTATTTCTGATCTAAACGATTTAAAATTGGCTCGACCAAAATCGGCGAAAATCGCCTCATAATTATGCATTGTAGCTATTACGAAGAAATTGAAATTTTAACTGGCAGTATGCTCAAGTTAAAATTTGTGAACAACACTTACAAATAAAGCTTTGAACCAGAGATTTCAGTGAAAGTAATTTTTTATCTACTCTTCCTGGACAAATTATAAAATTCTCAAAGCTGATTTTATCTAGTCTATAGGGGCGCCTGGCGGCGCCCCTCAAATATCTGGCGCCCTAGGCGGGTGCCTAGCTCGCCTATACCTAAAACGGGGCCTGGGTATTTACTTATGATCTAAACAAAGTTACTTGTACGTTTTTTCATAATAAACTCCGTGATTATGTACACGTGAGAATTCTCTGAAACGTCTAAAAACCGAAGACAAATTTTAACCTTTTGACCTTTTATATGCGACCTTAATATACATTTGTCGGTCAAACATTTATATATTTTTGATCAGCATGAAAAACCCTTCAATTTGCTGTATCACATTCTCGTCGAAGAGGAGTCCATCTGCCCTTTTTTTGCTGCTTGATGCAGTGGCGGCGGAAGTTGGGGGACATATGGGGACGTTACCATTGTTAGAAAGGAGGGGTCAAAGCATTGATGACTGAAGAAGCTACGCTTGTATAGATGGCTACTTACATACTATCTGTCCACGGCAAGTTGAACCCGGAGATATGGGAGACTAAACTCAGTTCAACGTTAATAAGCATGGGCCGGGATTTAGTCTTCCATATCTCCGGGTTCAACTTGCCGTGGACAGACTATAAGCAAGTTTCTCGTCGGTCGTACGACCGACAACTTAAAAAGCATGGGGATTGTTTCCCCATAGAGTTTTGTTTCCCCTTCCAGGTATTTCAAGGGAAGATTGGATTTTTCTGATTGCTGGGGACCATGTCCCCCCTCTTCTGCCGTCACTGCTTCAAAGACAGGCCATGATGGATGCACTACATAGTTCAGCGATCAAAATAGATGGAAAATAAATTTGGTACTCTTTTATCTGCTGAAAAGGTTGGAATCGATCGCCGATTTACATACATTAGCCGAACCGCATAAAGAATCCAAATTATTTAAGACCAATTTATTTTATTTTAACATAAAAATCATTCAACTTAGGATTATTATAGTTTTTGAAACATGGAAATTGAATGGCGTAGTTGAATTGGAGGAAAAATTTGCATGAATATGAATTTACAAAGATTTCATGTTGCCCATCCACTTTTTTTCTGGTACGAGCAAAACCACAGAATATAGATTCTACAGAATGTAGAATCTATATTCTGTGGAGCAAAACCCAGCTGACTCAACAAACAAACGAGAAAAGAAAACACTGCACACTGGAGAAGTACAGTAATCATAATTTTTAATTTATTAGTGCTTATTTATACTTGATAAGCAAGGAAGGAAATCAAATGTAAATTCAAACAACATTAACCTAAATTACTCCAGGTAAATAGTCAAACTAATCTTAATTTCGTTCAGAAATGTGAAATACAAGATTTGTTTCTGTTATTTTATTTGTCTCGATAATATCTAGTCGATATTTGAAATTATTTGTTGTTTATGTCTTTAAGCTCTAAATTTATAATAAAGCTAATTGTTTCTAAATGATTTATCTATTTATGTTCACACTTCAATTAATTTAGAATGGCTTACATCCTTCCGGACGACAAGGGACGGATTAATCCAATAGAAATAAAGGAGGAGAGGGAAGAATTTCAAAGGTAATTTCGAAATAGGTTTCCTATAGTGTTTTCCTACATTTAAATTTTACCGAAGTTATTAATTATTGCTAATTATTTGTAGAAACGAGATTGTCGACTTGCCAGGCTTACTCAAAGAGCTGAAATTCTTAGAGGATACCTTTCTCAAGACAGAAATTAAACTGGGGACGATTACGGATAAGTGGCAAAGCTATTTTGAAGGTTGCTAAATATATTTGTATGAGAAAATTATGAATGAAATGCTACAATTGAAATGTAATTTTCATCCGCAGACGATATTTCATGCAACTTCAATTTAATTAAGGATTGGATGCAATCAATTAAATCGTGTTTGGACGAAATCACACAAAAATACCGTGACGACTTTGCAGCCCCACCCGAATACTTTCATAATCTTGAACTCCCCTTAAAGCTTGAGTTAAGAACGGGAGAGGATGACAGCGACGGAGGAGTGGATAACAGCAGAGAAGAAGATGACCGCAAACCGTAAAAATCTTACATTTAATTAATCAATCAGTAATTAAAATTCTTCGTCCAATTCAGATAATTTTGCTCATAATTAATTTCAGCAGAAAGCCGCATAAGCAAGAATTGCCAACGTGGCATGACACGAATTCTGGTGATGAACAATCGCCCCCTGCAGATTCCGACGCAGAACAAAATACAAATTATACCCCTCCTCCTCACGATATTTATCAACACTTTGCCATAAACCCTGCATCTTCGAAAAGGTATAAAGTTCCCCTAAATCCAGAAACTTTCGCCCTGGAAAAACCAAAAAGAAAACGAAGAAATGAATTTGATCCTCCACCCCCACCCACATCTGAGTGCCCCATTTGTCACAAGGTCCTTGCACGTGGCGGATTAACCTCTCACATTAAACGATGTCATGAACCGCACGACTTAAAATTTTCCTGTCCCCAGTGTCCATCCCATTTCCATACGAACGGTCAGCTCAAATCACATATGGTGACGCACTCGGACACCAAATCGTTTGTCTGCCAAACTTGCGGTTGGGCGTTTCATCAATACTCGAATATGTTGCAACACATGAAGCGACACTCGGAGGAGAGGCCGCTCAAATGCGACATGTGTGACGCGACCTTCAAGTACAGCCAAGCCTTGAGGTTGCACATCGAGGCGAAACATTCCACCAACTCGAACCAGTGCCCCCAATGTGGAAAAATGTTCACAACGGGGATGAAGTTGAAACGACATGAGCAACAGGTCCATCAATCTGTGCGGAAACATTCTTGTCTCAAGTGTGATAAGGTTTTTAAGAGGGTGGAACATTTAAGGTATCACGAGAAAACGCATGATAATCCAAACACGAAAAATAGGGGGTTAAATAAAGCCAAAGAGTAATAATTAGTAAATATGTATGTAGTGATTAATACCCGGTTTTTGGAAAATTTCTAGTCTGTTGGAATTTTTATTGATATTGCAAAATATTGATTTATTTTAGAATTGTCGTTGTAGGCAAATTTCCAAATTGCTAATGAATACTAGCATAAAATTAATTGTAAAGTATAATATTATATTTGAAATGTGGTCAATTCTGTTAGTTTAAATTTATATAATGCTCTTCGCCAAAGAAATTTTAAATGTCATTAATGTTGGAAACTTTTATATGTTTAAGGTGAATTAAGAAGTATTTAAATATGTATATTTATCTTTTTTACTTGTCTCAAGATGGCAAAATTTAATTTAAAATGGTTTTATACAATTTCATCTACTTCGACTCCACTCCACAAACCAAAATTATAAGTGTATTTTATATTTTATAAATATGTTGTGTTAAAATATATTAATATTTCTTATAACACTTTTATCTTCTTTCGTTGTATTTAGATTTGTACATAAAACTGCATGAAAATACGTATCACTTCACCTGCTACAAAAACAAAGAGAAAGAAAATCATCCCCGCGATTCACTTTTGCATAAGACACGGTTTCTCTCTTCACTTTTCACTTTTCACTTTTACCGTAAAAGTTTTACGATAAACATTAAATAATGAATAATAATTAGCAGCTAAGAAAAACATGGGTAACAATTTTACGCCTTTCCAGACCATCTGACGCTTTAAAGTTTCACAATGGCGTCCAACAAATCACGTCGAGGGACGGGAAACTTATTGCAAGATTTACTTTCTTCCGTCGTCTGTTTGAAAAAATGTGACAAAGAAATAATTTTTACAAATTCAGTTAAATCAGAATTAAAAATTAAATTACAATTTATACACTGCTTCATGTGTGGCGTGAAGCACCAGCGCCGCCCATTATCTGACGTAAAATTTGAAATTTTACGAGAAATTATGCTAAAAGAAAGTTTCCAAAAGTTTTCCACGATTTCAATTTGTCCCCCGTGTTCGAAAACGTTGGATAAACTGGTCGATTTGTGGAAGAAAGTTGATGAGATTTGTTCTTGCATTCGAAGTGTGATCAAATTACGCCACAACTTAACGGACCGAGAAGGTATGCAATTAAATTAAATCGTATTTCACGGAATTAATAAAATAGTTAATCAAAAACATAATTTCTTAATCAACAGATACTAATATACAAATTGTTCACGTTTTGTGACCCGATTAAATGAAACAATTCTAACTTGATGCAATCTTAGTGAACGGTCTGCGTTTGTTCATAAGAATAAAATATAAAATAAATAGTTTCTAAAATTCGACAAAGTGTGAAAATGAGGCAATAATTGATGGACAACTAATCTTAAGTTTACTTAGCATTTGTTTTAGATTTCTGCAATCTTTTAGAATTAAGTAATTAATCCTTATAAATAGTATTTATTAAATACACATTTATTACATCACTTTTACCCAGCTTAACTCTGGTATTTACAATTTACATAGATAAATATGTAAAACCGTGAAAATGTGTATCACTTCACCTGCTACATAAACAAAGAGAAAGGAAATCTTCACCGCGAGTCACTTTTGCATGCCGCACACGTATTTACTTTCTCTTCTCATCTGTTTATTTAGATAAACAATAATAAAAAATGATCAACAGCTATCTGAATTTTAAGAATTAACATGGTTCAAAGTTTTATATTTTTCGAAACCATTTAATCACAATGGCGTTCAGCAAATCGCGTCGGGGGACTGGGAACTTATTGCAAGATTTACTCTCTTCGGTCGTTCTTTTGAAAAAATGTAATGTACAAATAATTTCTACAAATTCAATTAAATCCGAATTAGAAATTGAATTACACGTTTTACACTGCTTCATTTGTGGCGTGAAGCACCAGCGCCGTCCATTATCTAACGTAAAAGTTGAAATTTTACAAGAAATGGTGCTAATAAAACAAAGTTTCCATAAGTTTTCCGCGACCTCAATTTGTCCCCTGTGTTCGACAACGTTGGATAAACTGGTCGATCTGAGAAAAAACGTTGACGAAATTACTACCTGCATTCGAAGTGTGATTAAATTACGCCACAACTTAACAAACCGTGAAGGTAATTAAACAAAAAATTAAATCATCATTGATCATATTTCACGAGTTTAATAAAATAATTAATCAATGGCACAATTTCTTAATCTGTAGATATTGAAATACAAAATTCGAACTCAGATGTACTTTATAACGTTAAGCTCAATGACGACGATAATGATTATTGGTCCGGAGCAAAATGTGATGACGGAGACGATGAAATTATGGTACCGGATTTCGATAATCATGAATCAGTTGTTTCAAAATCTGTCACGTCGCCCACCTTGGAAAGTCTGACTTGTCCCGAGTGCAACGTAACGTTTAAGAAATCTTGGCAGCTTAATAGACACCAGAGAAATCCATGGTTGGACAGATCGGAAGGAAAAAGAAAGTAACTCTAATTTCGGTTATTATTATTTGCATTTACAATTAACAAATTTTAATTTAGCATTCGATGATTTTATAGACGACCCAACTCCAAAGGAAGGCAAACCAGTCTGCAGGATTTTGAAGAATCCGACTCCCCTAACGTTTCCATAAACGTTGATAATACAACTGCCAATAATGAAGACGTCAAAACATGCAAAAACGATATAAGCGACTACGATTTTGTGCCAATCGACGATCTGATGTTCCCAGGTGTGGCCGAATCGATAGAGGCAAGCGAAGACGGCAAAGTTGACGATCTTGAAGTCAATTTTGACTGTGCTAGCGCCATAATAAATAATTCTGAGGGGAATTTCATCGTGGATACGACACCAGAATTACCGCAAGCCCTGACGCAAATTGACAATGAAGTTGCTGTTGACATTGAAGAATTTGTACAATGCAAAACTGAGTCGGTAGAATTGATGAGCATAAATCATCCTGCTCAAGATGTCGTCCCACTTGTTAAGGAACCTTCAGAAAGGTTGCAAATAGCTAAAGTCAAAAATGAGGATGGCAAAGAAGTCAAACTTTTTACAAACCTTGACGGCGTAGATGACGTTGCCCCCAGTGAGTTAATTATTTCTGCGTCGGTGTCGCCCACCTTGGAAAATTTGACCTGTCCCGAGTGCAACATGACATTTGACAAATCGTGGAAGCTTAATCGCCACCAGAAAAATCCATGGTTGGACAGACCAGAACAACACAATCAAAAGCGCAGGTAACCGATGCATTCGTTGCTATTAATGAAACTAAGCGCTACATTTAATTTTGCATGCATTCTGATTATTTCAGAGTCGATTGATCTCTAACGACCTGCAGAATGATACTGCTAAACGGCCAAGACTTTCAAGAACCCGGGCGGAGAAGTTAATCAAAAAGATCACGAACCGTGAAAATCCAAATAGCGATGATAATGGCGACTTTGACCATCTAGGCGATTCCGACTTTCATGATTCCTCGGACAGCAGTATTAGTGATGATGATGAGGTCGAGTCTTCCTCAGATGATGAATCAATTCATGAAGAAGACACTGAGGTATGCAAGAAATCCGGACGATACCAATGTGTCAAGTGCAACACGGCCTACGGATCAATGTACCATCTTCGTCGTCACCTTACAACTTTCGCGCACACTGGGCGAAATCCTCCTCCACCTGCAAGGTAATCACGTAGTATCTAAATTTTATCAATTCCATTCAATTGAAACCCTACTTTTTTTATAGAACTGGAATTCCAACCCAGGGTGAAATAGCTTCTCTAAAATGCACCGTTTGCGCCACAAAATTTGATGACGTGGAAACTTTAACCAAACATAAAAACAAGCATAAAAAAGAATGTGAAATTTGTGATCTCAAGTTTCCACAAAAGTATGGTCTACTTCGACATTTCAAATCTCGAAAACATGATGTCGCTTTAAGATGCCGAAAGTAATTACATCAAAATTACTTAATTTATATGACACAATTATGCAAATTTTCATGTTTACCGCAGATTAAATGATGATGGAGTGGTTACATTCCGTTGCGATAAATGTGATCAGGTCGAGTTTCCTGATTCCCATGGAATATTTCAGCACGTCCATAGAATTCATAATTCGTAAGCTGAATTTACACTCAAGACTCTCTTAATTTATGTATCTAAAAGTACTATAAAAGGAATTAATTAGTCTTTAACCTTTTTGGTTAATATTTAGGTCTTTGGGTCCGATCGAGGAAGAAATCTCCACTTTACGATGTACAATTTGCTGCGAGAATTTTGACGACCTTACAACCCTCGTAAAACACAAAGCTCTCCATGGCAACAAATGTGAAGTGTGCGAGTTACACTTTAATAATCTTGATAAATTTAAAGTCCATCTCAAGGCTAAGCCACATCAATCCGCAATTCGTGCCAGACGGTAGGAAAATTGGGTTCTACTTTGTACACTACACTGTAAAAAATGATTTGCGGATTTTTCCAGCCCACCGACCCCAGCCCGTGGGAGTCCAGCCCACCATTTCCAGCCCGCGATCACCAGCCCACCAACTCCAGCCCTTAATTATCTCCAGCCGTAATTATTTCCAGCCCATAAATATCTCCTGCCCCAAATAAATGAATGTCAAAACGGGGTTTCCAGTATGCTTAGTCTTTGTGTGCCACCGGTTGTAGGTCGAATTGCATAATTTACTAAGGATAATGCAATATGGTATAATTTTTTTTTGCATAAAACGAATTGGTATAATGGTACGTAAGGGATAATTAAAAGAGGGATAAATATACGAAAATCAAACTTACATTTTAAATTAAATTAAATTTTAAACAGTCATGAAGTTGTGAAAGCATTTTCCAACAACAGGAATCAAAAGTCGAAAATGAAGAAGGCGACGGAGAAGTCTTGATGCAACTGAATTCTGTCTTGTCGAAAGTTACCAATGGGAAGTTCAAATTCACTCTCGGATTCACAACGGCAAGTGGAAAGGAAGTCAAAATATCAGAGGAGGTCATGAAGAAGGCATTGAGTCTCAATAAGGAATTTGAAACGGGGGACAGTAGCCGAAAATCGTTGCAACATTTTCCAACACCCATGTACCCCGTTTTGGGTTATAGCATAGTCATTAGGTAGGTAGGTAGGTAGGTAGAGTATAGCACAGTCATTATGTACATATGGAATATGAAGTGAAATTGGTAAAATTTTTGTCTAGAGCGACCCTATGGGGTGACCCATATCGATTTTTAGAAATCGTCGTAGTAAGAAGTGGATTCTGTAGTGGATTCTCATGAAATAATATGACGTCAAATATGAACAAAAAGTAACCAGAGGTACTAAGGGGTGACCAACACCGATTTCTAAGAGTTTATACATTCAGCTCAAATTTAATATGGAGTCGAAAAATAAATTGCAAATTAGAATATAGGAGGGTTGAATTTCAAAATTTTTGAATAGAAAATTTTAAGAAACTTGAGTTTTCTAATAAATCCTGGTTCGAGCTAAGCAAGGCTGTACGGATGGGTTTTTATAAACGGGCTGGAGATATTTATGGGCTGGAAATAATTACGGCTGGAGATAATTAAGGGCTGGAGTTGGTGGGCTGGAGTTAATCACGGGCTGGGGTCGGTGGGCTGGAGTCTTCCGCACACCGTAAAAAATAATGTTACCCTTTTGAAAGCTAAATGCACTCTCAATTCTTTGTTAAGTAAACTAACTCGAGCCAGAGTAAGCTTTACTCCTTGTCAGGTTTACCTTATTTTGGATCTAGTATAGTTCACACGTAGTATTAATTGAGAGGACCTTTATTTTTAAAAAGGGTAACATTACGATTAAGAGCGTGCACAATACAAATATGTATTACATTTTACCTCGAATTAAATATTTAGAGTGGATTCTGAGGGCAACGTTACCTTCGTTTGTGAGCGATGTCCTGTACAACAATCCTTTCCTGACGTCTCGAAACTTATCAAACACAAGGAAAATTGTCATCAGAAGCCAAGAATTTTTCCCGAAGGAAGGTCGTGTATGCCGTGTGACAAAGTTTTCACCTCGACGAGATGTTATAATCTTCATCTTCTCTCCACCCTGCACACTACCACCGTCGGAGGCGTAACATTGGCACAGTATGTTTAATTTAATTTAATTTCGTACTTAATTGAATTCTTCGAGAAAGACCTAGGTAAATTTGAAAAGCAGTTAAAATTGGTGTACTAACGTATGTATGCAGAAGACATGTATGTAATTGTAACACGAAATGGTTATAGGACCGTAGGTAAAAATGCATACTTCAGTATTCACCAAGTTTAAATTTCACTAAGCTATTGTTTTAACTTCACCTAGAAATAAATTATTGTGTTTAAAAATAACCCTTGTCCGACACATTTGGAAGATGTACATATAATTTCTTTGATAAATTTTGTCAAAACTAACTGGAAATTTATTAATATTTATAGAATATTGATGCCAACCCAGGATGAAATGACTTCTCTAAAATGCACCATTTGCGCTAAACACTTTGAGAACGAGGCCACTCTGACCAAGCATAAATCCAAGCATGGTAAAAAGTGTGAAATTTGTGATCTCAAATTTTTAAATGAAATAGCCCTAGGTCAGCATCTCGTATCTCAAAAACATTCCGTTGCTCTAAGATGTCGAAGGTAAACAGGTCAATATCCTTGAAATAATTTATGATAACCAAGAAAGTAAATAGCCAACTTTTTCCGCAGATTAAATGAGGACGGCGTCATTACATTTTCCTGTGATAAATGTGATCATGTCGAGTTTCCCGATTTACGTGCAATATTTCAACACGTGAAGAAAAGTCATAAATCGTAACGTGAATTAAAAATTTAAAAGCACTGTTAACAATTTGATCTTGATTTTTTATTCATGCTGTGTATTTTAGTCAACTTAGTCGCGCAGAAGTGAATTTTGATGAGACCGAGCTATGCACGGAATCGGGAAGATATAAATGTCTCAAGTGCAAGACAACCTACGGCTCTAAATGTCATCTGAGACGTCACCTTACAACGAATTTCGTACACACTGGGGGAAATCCTCCTAATAAGCTATCCGGGTATAGGAAGCTGTTCAAATTTTATAAATATTGTCCCCCAACTAAATAAACATACTTTCTAATATTATTTCCAGGCGTTTACCTCCATCCCAGAATGAAATAAAAACTTTGAAATGTACCATTTGCGCCGCGACATTCGACGACCTCCCAACCCTCGTAAAACGCAAAACTCTGCATGGCCTAGAATGTGAAGTGTGCAGCGTAACCTTTCGTCGACACAAAACCCTTAATCGACATCGGCAGAGTAAGAGCCATCAGTTCGCACTTCTAGCCAGACGGTAGGAAAATCAGGTTTCACGCTAATTAATTTAAGCCTACAAATTTGTATAACATTTTTCGTTCGTTAAAAAATTTAGTGTGGATTCTGAAGGGAAAGTTAGCTTCGTCTGTGGCCGATGTCCTGAAGGGCAACCATTTCCTAATTACCCGAAACTTGACGACCACAGGAAAGAAAATCATCCTGGACAAAACATTTTTAGCCACGTAAGCACCTCACTCGGAGAGACGGAAGGAATGTCCCTGTAAGTTTAATTACATACTGAATTGAATCATTTAACCTTAACTCGTAACATTTAATTCAGGGACTTCGCGTGCACCCTTTGCGACAAAAAATACGCTGCAAACTTCCAGCTTACCGCACATCTCGCCTCTGCGCATATCGATGCCTTCGTTTGTGAAATATGTGGGGTGCGGTTTCACAGTTTGTCTGGGTTTATGTCTCATCAGAAAACGCATGTTGAGTCGCAGAAGTTAAGCAATCGGTAATTATTATTACTTCGATGATCAAATATGTACGTATTTTCCTACCAAAAATATAAATATTTCACGTATTTGCAGACGCATTCCTCCAGAGGACAAATCTTACCCGTGTAAATTTTGCGACAAACGGTTCGCCCAAGTAGGTGGAAGGGCGAAGCACGTCAACTCTGTCCATAAAGGAAGACGCTACAAATGTGACGTGTGTAAAAATACGTTTGCTACTGCACAGTCGTTAAAACATCACAAGAAATATGTCCATAACTTTGAAAATGAGGAACAACAAACTACCAAAGTACACAGGAAGCAGCCGAAATCTAAAACCTTGAAGTGCGACGTTTGCTCGAAAAAGTTTGCCCACCATGTCAATCTCTCGCATATTGAATTAGCTCATTTTCAGGATAAAAGTAAATGCCCGTACGAATGTTCTAATCTGGAATTTGAGACTGAAAACGAGTGGATTCAACATTTGGAAGGATGCACTTCGGAAAAAATTGTGAGTTGGTTTCATTCACTGTCGAATTTATAAATAATCGGGAGGAAGATTGAGACTAAGGATTTCCATAATCCTTATTATAATTTCGATTCTTTAACCCAGTTCTTGTAAATTAATATCTTGATAGAAATGGAATTTGTACAAAAAATTGAATTCAAAAATCGCACGGATTATGATAATATGCTACTGTTTTTAGTTAATTAAGATTTGTTACTGTTTTAGACGGAAGCTTCCCGATGTTCCTGCTACTATTGTGGCGCCTTGTTTCGACACAGATTCCTCCTATTTTCCCACCACCTCCAAGCCCACAAAACCTTTCCTTGTGAAATATGCTCCAAAGTATTCACAAAACAACAATCACTTACCATACACACACATTCGCATCAAGAAGCCAGGCCACATCTTTGTCCAAAGTGTGGGAAACGATTTCGACAAGCTTGGAATCTAAAGCTTCATGTAACTCTGATTTGCGGGGATGACGAAGAAGCCAGGAAAAAACTTATGGAAAAAAGGAAAACACAGTATAAATCGTTCAGAGCAAAGAAGATGAATTTCAAGTGTGACGAGTGTTCGTAGGGATTCGTATCGGAGAAAAGGTTGGAATTGCACAAGAAGAAAGTTCATGATGAAGATATGTCGGGAACGGAGGATAGTAGTGACACCGATTCTTAAGAAACTGGACTTCTTCTCGCCGACCTTATTATAATTATGCTGATAAATCATAAGCAAAATATCTCCATTCGCAAATAGCGAAACATGTACATATGCGTGCATCTAGATTACCTATACACGGCAAAAACGCCCGTCGGTATTTCAGTACAGTCGTATCAAAAATCGCATTGCGAGCCATCCGTACTTAAATTTAAATACATTCCCACTTGCACGGAGTGTGATTGTACTTCGGTTAAGTACGGATGGCTCGCAATACGATTTTTGATACGTCCGTACTGAAATACGGACGGGCATTTTTTGGAGTGTACACAAAATCATACATACCTATACATATGTACAATTACTAACTGAATAAATTCTACACGTTTTGTGACTCGATTAAGTGAAACATTTCTAACTAGATTCAATCTCTTGGTGCTCGATCCACACTTCTTTTGTTCATTAGTAGTACTAATTTAGTACCCAATAAATAGTTTCAAAATTCGTTAAAATATGCAAATGAGGCAACAATTCATGGAGTGTATTATTCGCATTTCGTTTTAAATGTCCACATATTATTAGAATTGATTAAGAACTCGATTAGTACATATATATGTACATACATATTTATCTAGTTACTCTAAATTTTCTTGCCGGGGTAATCATGATCAATTAATACACATGCACATTAATAGGCAAATAGATACATAGGCGTGGTATGAAACTGTATTTAAACCAAATTTACATACATGAAATGTTCATGAAATTTAACATTAAACCTAATTTCAAATGAGTCCATGGAAATAACTAAATTGCACTTGAAAACTACTAACTAGTTTTTAAGCAAAAGACCCGTCACGGTGTTTTGAATAGTGAAATCCTGTATGACCAGGGGAGTCGTACGTTCCACAAAATTGTTACAAATTTTAAATTTGAGTGGGGTCAACGAATCTAAGACTTTTCTCGTATAACGAGAATGTTTTTGGCTCCACTTCCACTTTCTGAGCAGCTCACTCGACCCTTCGAACGTGTTCGAGGCTACCGTGAAGAGGACCATGTTTATGAAAAAGCCGTCCAAGTAAAGTAGGAGAAACATGAGAAATTCCGACAAGGAAATCTCATCTCGAAGTCGGATGCACACATAAGACGACAAAACTTGAATGACGGGAAAGCCTACGACGAAGGCCGGAATTAGGCGCCAACTGGTCGTTATCGTTGCCAGGATTTCGATGAGTTTCAAGTTTTGGTACGTTTTTATGAATCGCGTCGTCATTTCTTGAGAGTCATCATCACTCGATAGGTTGCATCGCCTTAAACATCAAAAACATTTAAAACGGTTAATTTTAATTAATTTTACTTTAAAATTATATGAGTTGACATCGTTAGCAACATTAGTAAAAAAAAAAAGCAAATTTTGCAAGTTCGGAAAATTTGGCTTGTGAACTTATGTATTCGTATCTCCAAGACTTAAATTTACTCAGCTTGCAATTTTGATTAGAAAATTACGGTGCGGTGCAAATATGCGATTTGTAATGAACCCCCCCCAATATGTTGGCTTTGGCTTAAGTACCCGTGCATTTCAAAATTTGAAATATCTCACCATTTCCCAATGATGCGTAGGTAATCCCACATGCAAAAAACGGCTGGCAACGTAACAAAGCATAGACATTATAGTTCGCAGCGACCACGGTAGGGAGTAAGATGACGAATTCCACCACGAGCAAAATAATTCGCACAGAAATTCCAAGCTCAATCCCGGCCCGACAAGTGTCCAACATTGACCCCAAGAAGGGCGGCATACACGGAAATTTGACCAGCATTACAGCAAGCCCGCCCAGGACAAAAATCCCGATAAAAATTGTGGACGGAATGAGACAGGCTAACATTTTGTTTACGAAGGTTCTCTTGTATGGAAACCCTGGAATTTTACATAGGCAAAATTACGATATAAAAATGGTATTCATGATTTTTTCCTATCCTTCCTATCGCACGTGGTGGCAATTCATTATCTGACAAATTTTGATTTGAGATTACTGAGAAAGCAAATTGTTTTCACAACTGAATACATGAAACACTGACTCAGTTTACCCCAAAACCCCGACTACCCCAACTACCCGCAAAACCCAGGTAGAGTACGGGTTTTCAATAGCAAAACCCCGGGATTTTACACTCTTAGAAGTGTGGTTATAATTTTCTAATAAACGTTATCACCAGGCACTTGGTGATAACGACTACCACCGCAATTTTAAGCAAATTATAACCAGATTATAACCAAATGCAAAAAAATGTTAAAACCGGCCTGATAATCATTCGCTCAACAGCGTCGGTATCATTTTGTTGCTACATTGTTATGATTAGGGTCCGGTAGGAAAGTAAAGAAACACTTGAAAAAGTATATTTATTTGTCTGAAAGAAAAATTGTCACTGAGTTGGAACGCGGTAGTTTTGTAGTCCATGCGATTGACTATCCAAATCAGAAAACCGGAAGTCGATATCTCGATTAGTTCAAAAATGAGAACACAAAATTCAGAGGAACTCGCAAAAAAATTTTGCCACTACTACGAAAAAGTGTGCGAGCGCGTTCGGATAATGGTTAATAGCCACTTCGAAAAAGAAAAAATTCATAATGGAGCAATTTGCAGAGTTTTAGATATGTATGAGGGGAGGAGGAATGCTGAATTCAAAAAATTAAAAAATCGTTCTGCTCGTGTAGCGACCCCCAAAGTGATACGTAGAGTTCAGAAGGAAAACAAAAATAACCTTGGGATGTCAGACAGTAATTTGGGCTGCAAATTGAAAATATCAAAATTAAGGTTACGTGACATTAAACCTACGAAGTTGGGGGTCAAATCCAATAAGGCGACACCTGCACCAAAGTACAACCAAGGTCAGCAAAAAAGAGCAAAGCCCAACTCTCGGCAGATTGTTGAAAAACGAGTCAAGCAAAACATGCCCGTGATTCTGGTCATGAATGATGAGATCAATTGCTCGAATGATCCAGATGAAGTCCCTGGGAGGAAGTACTACTCATATACTAATAAGAAAACGTTTAAAGATTCCTTCAAATACACACCGAAGTCAAAATTCCCCACAATTCCCGTAATCGGGCAAGCATTGGACTCATTGCGGGACGACTCAAAGCCGTTCGTGACCACAGCCACCATGACCTCCGAGAGATATCTGAACGATTGTGTAAAGTAGATCTTGATCCCCTTTATCAATAATCGTAATGTACTTTTCTGACCGGACACAGCAACATGTCATTCTTCAAAAGTTGTTCTGGAGTACCTGCGATCGAAAAAAATCGATTTTGTTGCAAAAAAGTAATATGCTCCCTACGTCCCTCGGGCAAGACCAGATGAACGATTTTGGGCATTATGCAAGAGAGAATATAGTCGTCGAACAAAACCACCCAAAAAGTTGGGAAGATTCCGTCACATTTGGACACACACCTCAAAAGTGGTAGCGAGAAAGAGTGGCAAAGCACTTCTGGGCACCGCGAGGCAAATAATTCGCCAGATAGGAAGGATGGGGGTCTATGGATCATATGAAGCAAAAAATTGAACGATAAGGACCTTGTTCTTAACCCTTAGAAGTATCATTGGAATTAATTAAGTTTTCCGGATTTTACAGGCATTTTTCAAATGTTTCTTTACTTTCCGACCGAACCCTATAACCGAGAAGTTATATTTCATTATAACCAATATTGTCACCGGGTTGTCATGCAGACTGAAAATAGTCTGGTGATGTTTTATTTTATTATCTGGTGATGTTTTCTCAAGATTACTTTATGGTTTTACACCAGTCGGTTATGTTCAGATTCAATAATGCTACGCTAGTGGCGCTGCATCACTTTATTGTGTTATTCCTCATCACAATGTCTTATTTAATTAGTGTATCGAATTTTGCACGTGAAAAAAATAATTGTGTCGAGTGACAATTATCGGGAGTTTCTAATAATTGAAGGTAACTATTTTTTAAGCATTCAACATTATTTTAAACTTTTGGTACATAAACTATTTTCTGGTTCAGTTAAATTAGAATTCAAGTTGGACGGGGAATCCGGAACTTCTAACCAAATCGGCACAGAAATCAGTGAACAAATTTTCTCTCTTTTGTCAAACAGCAACACGTGAATCCTGAAGCAAAAATATCGCAAATAGTTTATCGCAAATTAATTATTTAAATTAAATTTTCCGTTAATCTAACTTTGAAGAATATTAATTGTTTATTTGTAGTTGCTGAACAGCATATTTCTCCCAGTGGAAATAAACCTTCAAAATTCGGTTAGTAGATAGGGTTAAAAGTTGTACTTGTAATTAATGAATATTGTACTATATATATTTCTAAATTATTTTCCTTTCATGCCCTTTATTTAGAAACCCTCTCGTCAGCGGAGCAAACATTACTTGCAAAACCAATCATCGACATTTTACCTCTCTGGAGATATTTTTCTACTGAAGGAATCGTAATATAAAATTTGATTTTGTCATTATTTCAAGTATGCAGGTATTTACTAAAGTATATATTAATTAATTTACTTTTATAAATGGATTTAATGCAATTCGGTATTGGTATTATCCTATAAAATCGAATAAAACACTATTTTTCAAGTAAATCGTCACCGTAAGCTTAATAATTTACAATAAATCGGTTATAAACATCACCGTCATAGTGTTAATCATCACCAATAAATTAAAGGATCATAACCTGAACGATATACATCTGTACAACATTGTGGTTTTGTTGTTATTCATTGTGGTGATAATTAACACCGCAGTGAAGATGATACGATTTAACACCATTTCGGTGTTGATTATAACCAAACCGGTAAAGTCATATACGTCTAAACTTTGGTGATAATCTGGTTACAATTTTTCTAAGAGTGTAGTTACTATAAACATGGAGGAGGGAAGATTTGCTGGCAAAAAATGGCCAACATGCAAGTTACGACGGTTGCGAGGTTTTGTAAGCGTCGTCAGATTTCGTCTTCCAAACTCACGTTACACTTTTTACGAAGTTTGACCCATTGTTCTTCCTGTGTACGCTATTTTACGATACGAAGGATAGCAAGACAATTGTGAATGAATACCCTTAAATTCCCTTTTATACGGAATTTTCAGACCTAACCTTTGAAAAACCTTGACTCAAAAGCGATCAGCGTATTGATAAACCCCATCGGAACCAGATCTAATTTGAATCTTAGTCCAAGTGCGACAGAGAGCACGGAGCAGAGCGCCAACGCCATCGCGATCTGGGCCGCATCGTACGGCGAATTTAGCATGAATAAGTACTGCGCCACGGTGTACATGAGATGCACTGCGACCCCCAATTGGCAAAGGGATCGACGAATTTTGGAACGTTGTGGAATAGCTCGCTGATTTTTTGCATCCCATTTAAACTGGAGTGCACACACGGATG